TGCTGCGACTTACTTCTGCGAGCTCCGGTGCGGGAACAAACTCAGGAACGTTCCCTTCAATGAGGGCTATCGTTTTAGCGCTCACCAGTTAGCGCCACTGTAGAGTAAGGTCCTGTCACTTGCTAGTCGCGAAGACAGTGGCACCAACTTGTGAGCGCTAAAGTGGTAGGAGGATTATCGCATTTGCACTCATCAAGATGGCGCCACTGTAGAGTAAGGTCCTGTCAATCGCCAGGGGTGCCAACTGTTAAGTATAAAAACGATAGCCCTCATTACATACATATTGATCTGTCAGCGCCGATGATCAGCGTGCGGTCAGCGCGACTCTAAAACCAGCCTTAAGCTTCATATACTCGAAAGTAATCTATTTTGTGTACACGTGAGTGGCAAGTGCCTTCAGCCTAAACGCATTTCTTGCTTATGCTAGGGCTGCTGCGACTTACTTCTGCGAGCTCCGGTGCGGGAACAAATCGAAGGTATACGCCGCGAGCGCGGGGTGGCCCTGCATGTGCAGTAATAACACACCACACATCTGGCACGGCGCCCAGGGGCCCGCGAACAGGCGAGACAGTTGGCTCAGGATAGTATCGATATTCCATCAATCGCCATACTATCAGTCATCTATCGAGCCACATCTCTTAACCCGCACCATCGCTTTAGTCCAGCGAAAAAAACTGTCAAAACTACACGCTTCTCGCAGCTCACGAACTCGTATCTAGTTTCTAGCTAGGGGTGGGCACTGGGGATAGTGTCTAGGTCTGCTGCGACTTACTTCTTCTCGGGAACTCGTATCCAGTTGAAAGCTAGAGGTGGGACAAGTGGCTAGGGCTTCCGCGACTGGCTTCTTGATGTTCCAGCGCGGGAACAATCCAGCGACAATACTATTAGATAAGGAAGCAGTAAGGCCCGGGCATTTTATGGAGCTTCCGAGCGAGAAAAGTCTAGCTACGATACCAATCGGAACTACGCAATACTTGCTACTCGCGACATGTATCCATTCCTAGCTAGAGGTAGGGTAATTGTCTTGGGTGACTTACTTCTGCGAGCTTAAGCGCGGGAAAAGTCTAGCGACAAAACTAAACAACGCACTTCTTGCTTATGCTAGGGCTGCTGCGACTTACTTCTGCGAGCTCCGGTGCGGGAACAAATCGAAGGTATACGCCGCGAGCGCGGGATGGCCCTGCATGTGCAGTAATAACACACCACACATCTGGCACGGCGCCCAGGGGCCCGCGAACAGGCGAGACAGTTGGCTCAGGATAGTATCGATATTCCATCAATCGCCATACTATCAGTCATCTATCGAGCCACATCTCTTAACCCGCACCATCGCTTTAGTCCAGCGAAAAAAACTGTCAAAACTACACGCTTCTCGCAGCTCACGAACTCGTATCTAGTTTCTAGCTAGGGGTGGGCACTGGGGATAGTGTCTAGGTCTGCTGCGACTTACTTCTTCTCGGGAACTCGTATCCAGTTGAAAGCTAGAGGTGGGACAAGTGGCTAGGGCTTCCGCGACTGGCTTCTTGATGTTCCAGCGCGGGAACAATCCAGCGACAATACTATTAGATAAGGAAGCAGTAAGGCCCGGGCATTTTATGGAGCTTCCGAGCGAGAAAAGTCTAGCTACGATACCAATCGGAACTACGCAATACTTGCTACTCGCGACATGTATCCATTCCTAGCTAGAGGTAGGGTAATTGTCTTGGGTGACTTACTTCTGCGAGCTTAAGCGCGGGAAAAGTCTAGCGACAAAACTAAACAACGCACTTCTTGCTTATGCTAGGGCTGCTGCGACTTACTTCTGCGAGCTCCGGTGCGGGAACAAACTCAGGAACGTTCCCTTCAATGAGGGCTATCGTTTTAGCGCTCACCAGTTAGCGCCACTGTAGAGTAAGGTCCTGTCACTTGCTAGTCGCGAAGACAGTGGCACCAACTTGTGAGCGCTAAAGTGGTAGGAGGATTATCGCATTTGCACTCATCAAGATGGCGCCACTGTAGAGTAAGGTCCTGTCAATCGCCAGGGGTGCCAACTGTTAAGTATAAAAACGATAGCCCTCATTACATACATATTGATCTGTCAGCGCCGATGATCAGCGTGCGGTCAGCGCGACTCTAAAACCAGCCTTAAGCTTCATATACTCGAAAGTAATCTATTTTGTGTACACGTGAGTGGCAAGTGCCTTCAGCCTAAACGCACTTCTTGCTTATGCTAGGGTTGCTGCGACTTACTTCTGCGAGCTCCGGTGCGGGAACAAATCGAAGGTATACGCCGCGAGCGCGGGGTGGCCCTGCATGTGCAGTAATAACACACCACACATCTGGCACGGCGCCCAGGGTCCCGCGAACAGGCGAAAAAGCTGGCTCAGGATAGTATCGATATTCCATCAATCGCTAGACTGTTAGTCAGCTATCGAGCCACATCTCTTAACTGGCACCATCGCTTTAGTCCAGCGATAAAACTAAAAACCACACACTTCTCTCAGCTCACGAACTCGTATCTAATGTCTAGCTAGGGGTGGGCACTGGGGCACTGGGGATAGTGTCTAGGGCTGCTGCGACTTACTTCTTCTCGGGAACTCGTATCCAGTTGAAAGCTAGAGGTGGGACAAGTGGCTAGGGCTCCCGCGACCTGCTTCTTGATGTTCCAGCGCGGGAACAATCCAGCGACAATACTATTGGACAAGGAAGCAGTAAGGCCCGGGCATTTTATGAAGCTTCCGAGCGAGAAAGAAGTCTAGCTACGATACCATCGAAACTACGCAATACTTGCTACTCGCGACACGTATCCAGTTCCTAGCTAGGGGTAGGGTAACTGTCTTGGGTGATTTACTTCTGCGAGCTAAAGCGCGGGAAAAGTTTAGCGACAATTTATTACTATTCAATTAATTTTTAGTCTGCAATCTGTATTAATTTTAACTGTGGAAACTTTGCTGATTTCTGTCCTATTTTTTGTGTGATTATTTGTCTGTATATGAAAATTGTTTGTTTCCCTAATATAAATAAATAAAATAAAATAAAATAAGACAAAACTATCAATACAACGCACTTCTTGCTTATGCTAGGGCTGCTGCGACTTACTTCTGCGAGCTCCGGTGCGGGAACAAATCGAAGGTATACGCCGCAAGCGCGGGGTGGCCCTGCATGTGCAGTAATAACACACCACACATCTGGCACGGCGCCCAGGGGCCCGCGAATAGGCGAGACAGCTGGTTGAGGATGTTGAACTTCTTCTCTTTGTTTGTCACGTGTTCCTGTGGAGGATGCTGATGTGAATGAAAACTTCAACCTGTTAGGCTGGGTTTAGTCACGCTGACGCACGCTGACCGTCAGCGCTGACAGCCGAATTGTATGAAGCGTAGGCGCCGAGCGATCAGCGTCACTCAGGAACGTTCCCTTCAATAGGGATATGTTTCCTGGGTCAAAAAGCAAGTTTTAATTAGTCCGTCAGTTAACTTATCAAAAAATACTCTACACGTATTTTTCACTTTTTCAAACTAATGAAAATTTAAAGAGATAAAGCGCGCCAAAGTTCATAATAAGAGGCCCGTGACGTCAATGCTTGCATAAAACGCCGCACGTTGTGACGTCGTGCGGAACTTCAACGCACCATAACTATGTAATTATTTGTTAGATTGACAAATAAAAATATATGTGTCCAATATTTTTTGATATTAAACATGACGGACTAAAAACATTTTTTTAGGAAACTAGCCTATTACATACATATTGATCAGACAGCGCCGACGATCAGCGTGCGGTCAGCGCGACTCTAAAACCAGCCTTCAGCTTCATATAGGGGAGACCGGGTACAATAGTACCACGGGTCAATAGTACCATCGGCGATATTTCTTCATACAAGCGACGTTAGATTGTGTGCATAGCGTCAGAATATGCGCTTTTTGTGTTTCCATCCGCTCACCAGTCGGCGGCGCTTGTGCTGAGAAACGAAGGTGTACAGGAAGGATTTTTGTTTTTTGCCCAGCCGCAGTAAGTTTTTATGTCAAATATATGAGCCCATAAGTTGCCTAATATGCTATTTGTTACCAAAGTATTGTTGTCAATAGTTNAAAAATAATTTAGATAGATTTTTTTTCTTATTTTTCCTAAAGTAGTCATGACTATGTCCATCCTGCGGCGCCGGCTTATCCTTGAATTTTGGGACACGTTGTATATCATCAAAACCGGCTTGATATATATCGGATATATATCCGATATATATCTTGATATATATCCCTTGATATACAGGGTGTTTGGCGCATTGTGTGCCAAAATGATTTGGCGGATAGAATGGGTCATTTCCTATATTTTCAGCCCCCATAACACGTTCCATGCCAGGCGGCTACTTTTATATTAATTTCACCAAAATACCCAAATCGCATCATTTAATTTCAATTTAAAAAAAAACTACTAGGCGTAGCCTCAAAGTAAATATTTTGTGAAGTTTTTACCTGCTTTGAACTTATTGTAAAGTAAAAAAAAAGTTCAAAATTCAAAATTTGAATATCAGTCCGAGTAGAGTCAATGCACTAATTTAAGGAATTTGTGAAGTTTTTGTTATTATTTAAACAAGATTAGTATACCGGATTAGCGGGGAGCCAGTCGTGGTTGCGCCAAATTTGTCAGTGTGTGCGTGCGCGCCGCATACGTATATTGGCGTGCTCACATACAAACCGCGCTCGGTGCGTTTCTATGAAGATGACCTACTCATTTGTATTTACTCTGCCCAAAGTGAGTCTTGGCCTCCGACAATAAGTCTCCATTTCGGTCTGTTCTGCGCCACCTTTGGTCAGTTATGGTTCAACCTATTAAAAGTAATGTATTTTCTGCCAATAAGCTTTTAAAAAGCGCCTATACATCCCAAGTGTAATTTTAACCCTACCATTGCTTCTGGACAGTAAAGTGGGCGGTATTGACTGAGAAGAAGCAGCTCAAAAGTTATTCTTTTCTACATTGTCTGTTCCTTTCAAGGTCGGGGGGAAAGATTTACATAATCATGTGCAATTGTGACTATACTTAAGATTAGTATGCTAACCTGGAGTTTCACATTTTATTTTAAAAACGTCTTTGCAAAATACTCAGGATCTTTAAATCTAACTGAACTGCAAAAAAAACTACAAATTATAAGAAAAAAGCGCTACTCACTTCAAATACTTACTTCAATCTTCTGCACCAAACCAGGCGCGCAAGTATTCACAAAATAGTCCCTGAACTTCTTTAGCTTATCCGCTTGTTCGGGCGTCAAGAACGGTAGGAATTCCTTGAAGGTGTCCACTAACTCCACGTCGCACAACGATTCGAGGTTCCGTGCTAATACCACTGGGTCGTCGTGGTCTACGTCGAATTTTGTGAACAGACTATTTATCCTTTTTTTCGTTTGTGCATGTTTTGCCAGTATCGCTGACCGAAGTAGTAGTGTTAATTGGAATGAATTCACGAGTTCTGAAAGAAAGTTTCGTGGATATTAGATTTGTTATAATTTTTTTGGTAAATATTACTAATGGCAACATTGTCAATCAAAGAGAGAGAGAGAGAGAGAGAGAGAGAGATTTAGTATGTAAGATGTAAGAAAGGAAATAAAAAATGGTGGATGTGCATGGAATAAAAAGATAAAGCATGCATGATAGCTCTAAAGGTTCTCGGAACACAAGAATTACATTAACATTTTACGATTAATTCAAAATCAAAAATATTATATTCTGTTTTAGCCAATTTTTTTGCACTTATGAACGTCAAAAATAATAATGTGCTTAAGGGACACTTTGTATTGTATGCTCGCTCACCTAAATCTTCTGCGACATTGCTGTTATCTAAATGATTTTCGTCTGTCTGTCGTTCTGATTTACCAGTCCCTTTCAAACGCTCCAGCCTTTGGTTAATATCTTTGTAAATGCAATCAGATTGCCTTTTAAACTTATTGACTAGTAACTTTAACCTATTCGTTATCCTTGGATAACTTCTATTCGTACAATGGCACATTTCTTTTCTTTCATTTTTATTCCTAAAGTAGTCTGTGATTCTCTTTTGCTTTGGCTTGAAAAACCTCCTCATTATGATGCAACATTTGCAATGATTTGGGTCTTCTTTCTGTGTCTTTTCTATATTTGAACTATTTTCCGTGAGGACCTTTTTATTTTCGACTGCACTACTAATGGGCGTTACGTTACAATCCACTGTGTTGGTTTGGAGACAGCGAACTTGTGGAGTTTCGATTGAGTTCATTTTCAATGGTTCTATCGTCATCAATTTCATCCCAGTGTTGCATCCATTTTGTTTCAAGGGTTGTATCACAATATTCGGTGTCGAATCTTCGATTACCGTGTCGAGAGGAACCAAATTGATTCCTTTGCTCGTTTCGACTAGTTTGAAAAGGCTCGAAGCGTTGTGTGCGCCATCAATGGAATCATTTATGGGTGTCATGGGTAGAGTGTTGATTTTGATGTCGAATTTGTCTTTGAATTCAGGCTTCGCGTCTGTGCTAATGACCTGCTCGGTGTAGTTTATTGGTAGAGCTGTTTTGGAAGGCACGACAGGGATGACGCCATTTAGATTTTCGAAGTCGATGTCGACTCCTTTGGGCGCTGTGCCCGAGGCGTGGGCTCGGCGGCGGAGGAAAAGCTGGAAAATGGAACGATTCGAGATGTTAAGAGTTGTTTTGTTGCAACAGCCAATAGGGATGTTTCCTGGGTAAAAAAGCAAGAGTTTAAATTAGTCCGTCAGTTAATGAGGGTTTTCGCGATTGAAATATTCACCGAATTCGCGAAAACCCTCATTCATAAAAAAAACTTGACACGTACTTTTCACTTATTCAAAATAATGAAAATTTAAAGATATAGCACGCCAAAGTTCTGAAGAAGAGGCCCGTGACGTCGAATGCTAAAAGTGTAGCACTTTGTGTCGTCACGTGGAACTTCAACGTATCATAACTTCGTAATTACTTGTTTGATTGACAAATAAAAAAATACGTGTACAATATTTTTTGATAATATAATTGACGGACTTAAAGTTTTTTTAGGTAACTAGCCTATTAGTGTGCTCTTTTAAACGATTGTACAGCCAACAGCACATTCAGACTGGACATTTTGTTGCAAAATAATACCTATTCTATTACATCGAAATAAGATGCCACAGTGTTTAGCTTGATGTGCTATCGTCTGTACAAGGTTTTAATTATTGCCATTTTAACTCGTTGGAATTGTCTCATATTTGGGGTACATGTAAAATTTTTAAGTAAAGTTTTATTTTAAATGTAACGATGCATGTAAATTGATATGTTGTTGGTAAATCTTTGACAATAAATAAATAAAAGGATATCAACGATTTAAAGGACAATGACCAAAAGTGGTCCAAATTTCCACCACCAATGAGACCTATATTGGCTTATAGTCCATTAAATAGAGATTAACTTTCAGTGCCGTGTGGTGACGGCAGAGTAGAATACATTTGTCACCAACCCCTACTCTTCCCGCGGGTGTCGTAAGAGGCGACTTAGGGACTACACATCAAACAGAGAATGGGCAGCAGCGCTCTCTGAAAAACATCAATCTTTTAAACTGCGATCTCCAACCCGCCTGCCTAGCGTGGAGATTATGGCAAAACCCTCCACTATAGTGGAGGAGGCTCATAGTCCAGCAGTGGACTGTAAAGGGCTGTTGATGATGATGATGATGAACTTTCAGTATGGGACGAAAAAAAAAAAGCTGTCAGTAAAAAGTTATGACTGTTTGAAAAATTGTAGTAGTTTACGCGCTAATGTCAGGAACTACTGGTCCGATTTGAAAAAATCTTTTTGTTATGGATAGCCCATTTATCAAGGATGGTTTTAGGATAAATAACATCACCCTACAACCAATAGGAGCGGAGCAGTAAAGACAAATGTTGTAAAAATGGGAAAAATTATTCAAACTATTTTCACGCGTACAAAGTCGTAGGCACAGCTAGTATAATATTTAATAAACTTCATCTATAACCCCGCGCCACATGCGACATGACATAACATTCGTAGATTAGTCCAAATGTGCAATGGATAGAATGATATCAAGAAAATTTTTCGGATGAAAAGGTAAAAAACAGACTTTTCATTCAGTCATAACTTTTTACTGACAGCATATTTTTGATTGCGGTTTGGTTATAATGAATCAGTGTTTAGTAGACTATTTTACTACATTGGTCTCGTTAGTGGTGGACATTTGGACCACACTCCATACATTTTTGGTCATTGTCCTTTTAACCTGTATACAACCCAATCGAGCTAACTACGCACCAATGGAAGCTGGAATATGACTCTCCCTCCCACTTACTCGCACACCGTCAAGCGTCGTACAACGTCGCACAACGACAACGGTTAACTCGACCGGTATTTGAACTGTAGGTTCCTTAAGGTTCTCCACTTACCCTAAATCGCTTGCTGGTCTTGGCCAAATACCGGAGCCATCGCCTCGGCATTTCGTACTCGGGCTGCTGGTACAGCGTCAATGAAGGGTCGAATGCCAGCAGACGATGCTTCACTGGAGTCACCTGCTGCGTTCTGAAGAATACCTGACATAATATTTAGAATAGTTTTATTGTTGCAATGCCAGCTTGAATTAATACATGACTTACTAAAGCTAAAGATGTATTAGAAACTTCCTAGTCACAGAACGTATTGTTTTTTGACCATATCATGTGTCTAATTGAAAATTCTATAAGTATATTCCGCGGTGTATAATTCCTGGTGATCTTACTCACTTGTATAGGGTTGTCCCTTTCAGAAGTCCTGCGCACCTGCTGTAGATGATTGTGCAACAACTATGAAGAAAAAATAACAGAAATTATGGATAAATCCTAATAAAAGAAATAATCGATTTATTAGAGACAATAAATAATTTCTGAAAATAGCCAAGGCGGAGCAAAGCGGAGAAAGGTTTTCAATAACCAATCAGATTTCACCCACAAAACGCATGCGCGCGTCATTTCATATATTAGCTGTCACTAAGGCCGGCAATACACGGACCGCTTGAAGCAGTCAGGGTCGACAGCTTCAAGCTGCGACTGCACAGTGAACTGAAGAGTTCTATGGACGCACATACACGAACCGCTCGAGCAGTTGCAACTGAATCGGGCGGTCGACAGCACGGTGAATTTTCATCGTGCGGTCAAGCAGTCGCCAGCCATACACTGACTGCTCGAGCTGTCGACAGCTCTCGCGCAGTTACCTCCGCCCACTTTCTTCATTTCACGGCGCGCGCGCGTGATTTGTTGAGCAGTTAATACCAACTGCTCGAGCAGTTATCGCTGGCAGCTTCAAGCTGTTGATTCTTGACTGCAAGAGCGGTCCGTGTATGTTGATCACTGACTAACTGCTCGAGCTGTCCGTGTATTGCCGGCCTAAGGGTTTCCAACGCACCGAGCTGGACAGCCAAGGCATCATGTGTTTGACGACCAGATCGACCGCATACATGAGTCCCCAGCGGGCCTTGCTTGGCGGAGTGACACACAGGGACCTTACAAAGCTCTATTCAACGCTGTGCGTTCGACTTCGTATAGCGTTGCTGCTTCACTTAAGCAAGCATCGTTTATTAATACGGGTAGTTTTATGTTAGTTCGGTCGGATGAATAAAATTTTTGCATTCAAAAGTGGTTTTGACTAACGCGCTTGATTAAGTGGTTTTGACCGATTATGAGTTTTGACTGTAACATTAAAGCCATGTATTCATTAGGCAACATTTGTTTATAAACACGTTTATAAACTGTTCATACTATCCGTTCGCGATAAGTTTGCCGCTGGCGATATGACGTCACTCGAAAGAAAACGTCTATAACTTTAGCAAACTATATGGAAATTATTTTTTATTTATTAATATTCATAAAAATTGTGTATTTGCGTAAAATAAAACACTCATTTGCGTATAATCACCAATTATTTGCGTTTAATCGCGGTTGGAGGAGGGGATGCGCATTCCACGGACCGGCAACTTAGCGCGAACGGGTAGTACACAATGTTTCATAATGTCATCTCTGTAAACAGTTTATAAACAGTCCATGAACATAGGTGACGAAACATTGTTTATGATACACGTTGCCGTGCCCCCGCTATGAGTGGAGAGCAAGTGTGGACGGCCAAGTTTCAGAAACCTGTGTTTATGGTAAACTTGTTTCACACTAGTCATAAACAGTTTATCAACAAATGTTGCCTGATGATTACGGCTTAGCACTGTTTCAAACGTACCGAGCCGGACAGCCAAGGCATCATGTGTTTGACGACGAGGTCGACGACGTATATGAGTCCCCAGCGGGCCTTGCTTGACGGAGTGACACACAGGAACCAATCCCAAAGCTCTATTCAACGCTGTACGTTCGACTTCGTATAGCGTTGCTACTTCACTTAAGCAAGCATCGTTTATGAATACGGGTGTTAACCTCGTAAGTCCCCGCGTACTTGTACAAGTACATACTAAGCATAGTAGTTCAGACCTGACATTTAAACTACATAGCAAGAGTAACTGCCTAATGTACTTACCCAAGTACAAATTTTTCTTTCCCCATTTACCGGGTAGTTTTTTTACAATGGCAAAAATTATACGACCATACTCATTCAATACTCTATGGTCAATTCCGCCATGTTAGACAGGTAACGTCAACTGTCAGTGTCAGAGTAATTTTTTCGCAAAATGGTTACGCGGTCGGATTGCTGGCCGACACGAGGATAGTTTATCTGTTTATATCAAAGTAATCTTATGTTTTTTGTCTTATTTTTTAAATGTATCAGTAAATATAAGTTATAGTTTTTGTAAATAAAACAAAATTCATGATCGGTCAAAATAATTTGTACTTGATATAGAACGTTAGGCGTTTGTTTCAAAAATTATTGTATGAAAGTTGTATTAGGTATGAAATTAGCGTTTATTTTTCTTCAATGTTCATTAATATGTAATTTCTTTCATAGTATAGCTATGTCCATCATTCTTTTTTTATTTGAAATTTGAGTTCAAGGGCCTATTTTTGCGTATAAAATGTTTAACTTAATTTTATTTTTTAAATTAGAATTTAATCTTCAAAGACAGCTCGTACTAATTGTCGTCCGTTTCCATTAAACAAAAATAAATTATATTTTTATACAGATACCAATTTTCAAAAAATGTCTTAATTTCTTTTATAGCTTAATGTTGTTTTAATCTACCTACAAAATTTCATAAAATTTTAATTTATGGCTTTTTAAAAAATCCCAAAAAATTAATATGGAAAAATTAATTTTGGTGAAAATCTCCATATAAAACGCTGAGGACAAATAATTTCGTCTTAAAGACTGAATTTAATAATTATTGCTTACTTAAGTGACGTTTAGAAGAAAAATATGATTTATTTTTAATACTTAAATAAAACCTTTGTCTTAGTAATATTATTTTTTTACACTGTATAAAAAGCCTAACGTACTTACAGGAGTACAAACTATTTTCAATATTTTTCTTTTGAAACAGGTGCTAAAGATGCTAAACTTACAGTAAAAAATACAAAACATAAGGTAACACTTAAGAAACTATGTAAACCGTCAATTTTTTATCTCGGTCTGAAGCACATTTCTTAGTTTGTACTTGGTATAGTACATCCGGCAGATATGAATACTGCTGTTGAAAAAACACAGGACTTACGAGGTTAATGTTACAGTCAAAACTCAGAATCAGTCAAAACCACTTTTGAATGCAAAAATTTTATTCATCCGACCGAACTAATTGATAATTTACAAAACTTTTACCTGACGAATACACTGATTTCTTAAAAGTAGTACCTAAGGTAGATCATTTTGTATGCACAAATCACAAAAACGTTACACTTTAAATGGTTTTATAGCACATTTGTATGATTTCCAAGTAATTTTCACTTTCAAGTAATGAATTTTGACTGATTTTTGCCTTTTTTTTCTTGGTGGACTATCCCGCGGATTTATTGCCGCGGCGATTTTGCCAATGTCAAGTGTTCAAGGAGACTGACTGATGGTTAAATTTTAAATCAAAGTCAAAGCCACTTTTGACTGATTTTTGTAGTCAAAAGTGCTTTTGAGTGGATTATGAGTTTTGACTGTAACATTAAGGCTGAGTTGCACCACCTAACTTTAACCGTGACTATTACGATAACTGGTGCATTTTTTATGGATTTTGACGATTTTGACAGATTTTTGACGTTTCTTAATGTCAAAGTAAGATGGTGCAACCCATCCTAAAGCTGTTTCAAACGTACCGAGCCGGACAGCCAAGGCATCATGTGTTTGACGACGAGGTCGACGACGTATATGAGTCCCCAGCGGGCCTTGCGTCCGCACGGCCGCGGCGGCCGCTTGTATATCTCGGGATTGGCCTCCACGTAGTTCCAGAACTGCTCTAGACCTAGGGCGATGTATCTGAAAAAAGTATTTATTTATTAACTAGCTTTTGGCCGCGGCTTCGCCCGCGTGAAATTTAGTTTGTCACAGAAAAACTTAATCGCGCGCGTCCCTGTTTCAAAAACCGGGATAAAAACTATCCTATGTCCTTTCCTGGGACTCAAACTATCTCTATGCCAATTTCATCAAAATCGGTTCAGTGGCTTAGGCGTGAAAGCAAGACAGACAGACAAACAGAGTTACTTTCGCATTTATAATATTATTATAGAAGTATAGATAGTATAGACGAGGCATTGTGCAGGTATAGTTATAGAAGAATTTGTAGTTTGATAACTGCTTGTTCAGTAAAATTACTGGCTAGCCACTAAAGCTAAGCTAAGTAAGTTGCCACACTGGCGGATTGCAAGCATTTTATAAGCGGAGCGACGCAACAAACACGCCGCGCGTGTGTGAAAACGCTTGTAATCCGCCAGTGTGGCAAGGCCCTAAGTTTTAGTGACTTGTGAGGACAAAATGACGAATCCCAAAGCACCCTCGGGTTATCTTTCCCCAGCAACGCAGGATTTTAACTACTGTTCTGTGAAGTTATGGAAGCCGACTATGGCTAAGAAGTAATAACATTTTAACTGAAAGAAATTAAGTGAGGGTAGTCGCAGCTATTGTTGTCTTATGTAGCCCCGCGAATCGAGATACAATAGAAATCAATTGTTACGCATTCTTGTGCGACCGCTAGGAGTTTGATCGGATAGGGTAAATATAAATTTATTTGGACAATCTCATACAGCGCCATCTAGCCCCAAAGTAAGCAATTAATATGCTTGTGTTATGGGTGCTAGCTTAACGGATATACTACTTATATACTTTAAATAGGGTACCGTGCTGAAAGTATAATTTGGGTTATCCTCGACGAGCAAAGCCTTAAGCATAGGTTTGACTAGGGCCACCTTTGAATATTTTCAGAAGGTAGGTACTTACGAATCCTCGCTAGGCATGTATATGCAGCGGCGGTTGTGGTGCGGCCGGTAGGGCATGGGCGGCAGCAGGTGAGGGTAGACGAACACGCAGCTGTTGGCCACTACCCGCATTAGAGTCTCGTGGAAATCCCCGATGTAAGGGTTGTTGTTCGCGTGCCGTCGGCGACTGGAAATTAGTACATAATAAACATTGTTGGAACTAAACCCTGGGTTGCACCATATTACTTTAACTATAACAAACGTCAAGTCTGTTAAACTCCATATATTACATCGGGTTAAGGTATAGTTACGGTTAAAGTTAAGGTGATGCAACTCACTCAGCCTATGTATTGCCATGAAAATAAGATAATCTTTAGAAATATCAAGTTTGTTTAATTAAATTAGATGAAATATAAAGACTTACCATCTATCTGATTCTTTCTGGATGAACCTGAAAGAAAAAAAAACAAAACATTTCTATCGGAAGATATTTTTAACAATTTAAAAGTGCACAAAACTATATGTTTTTATTTTGTGTAAATGTTTCACATTCCTTTGTTGAATTTATGACGTAACTAAATAGGCACAAACTATGAATGCTTCCAAAATCAATCAAAATAAAAAACGTGACAACACATTTTGACACGTGTTTCTGACTGAAAATAGCCAATCTGAAAAGCAAGTTACTATTTTTCGTTGTCTTTGTACTCTTAACACAAGGCAATAAAGTACAAAACAACGTGGTTACTATATTACCATTGACAGATTGTGGGATAGAATAAAGAAGTGTCACTTACTCAACCAGCTCAGTATTTTCCGGAGTGTTCTCCGAGACGGTCTCCGCCCACGATTCGACCAGTTCCATGGCGGGCCGCAGGTTGCATACATTCACCACCGACTTGGGATTCGCGGTTGCCATCTTTGAGAAAGTTTCCTAGGACAGAGGTCAGGTTACGACACTTGTAAACATCGTGGGTAAACGTAATAAGTAAAAATAAAGAAAAGAGATTACGAAAATCTTTGATGGTTTGACAAAGGAATAGGAATAAATATCCTTGACGCACTGTACATTGCGCCATTTGATCCCAAACTGAGTAAGTATTTTGAATGACAAGGATATATCCGGACGTAACCGTCAAACTTTGACGTTTTAAATCAAACATCAGGGATCGAATCAATTCAAGCCTTAATCAGGAAGTCGTTAAATAAAGTCAATTTGAACTTTAGGCCTCAAAGATAAGGTATAATATTTTTTTCCATAGCCTACCGGGCTAGGATGTGCGTCATAGCAGGCCTGTTCATCTCCGCGAGTTTACATCGAAAACAAAACACGCACGACGGCCCACCTACAGGATACTATTCGACAAGGCCTCACATACGAGCGAACATTGACTCACGCACGCGTATTCATGTGTATGATGGAAGAAAATAAAGAAAATGGTGTACTAAATACTGTGCAGTATTTAACTGCCTAAATAATAATAAAAACATAGAATGTACTTTTTTAAGTTGTCTCTAGACACTGAGAGGTAAATAAGTAGTTAATATTATTCATGATAATTCATGCTAAATCATGTATTTCCTCCGCCATTTTCCGCAGTTTGGCACCTCACGTCACATCATTTTACCGAAGTCAGCCCTATAGCTTCGGCGCAGTGCCGAACACTGACGTTTGTCAACAAAATGGTGCTTGACTCTTGAGACAGGCTAAATTACGCCATATTGTTAATGACATTGAGCATACATTTTTTTAAATACCTTCGCGAAGTAAAATTTCTGTACGTAGTACTTATTATTATTCTGTGGTCATAGTAAAATCTTATCAATGATTATAGACGACAAATGAATGGGAAAATCGATAAATTGCCTCGCTAAAAGGTTATCATACCGTGCGTTCTAGGCTTACTGGTCAGTGGTTCAAAATACACTTACCAAATACTCCTTGTAACTTGGCCCGTAAGACCAGTGTATGGGGTGCACGTAAAGTTGCAAGAAGTTGGATGCTGCTAACTGGATGTGCATTCTGAGCTGCTGTTGGAGAATCAGGACTTGCTCGGGCAGTATCTGAAACAATATGATATTTCATTATAAAAAAAAATTCGCTATATAAGAAGAAAAAATACGCATGTGGTGCGCTAGATGGCGACACAGTAGCTTTTTTGTAGCAGTCAGCCCTATCGCATCGGCATAGTACCAATGACTGACGTATGTAAACGAAACGGTGCTCGACTCTTAGACAAGCTAAATTACACCATATTGTTGACGGCATTGGGTAAACATTTTTTAAATACTTTCGCGAAGAAAACTTTCTGTACTAGTTTATTATTATTGTGTGGCAACACTGGCGAATGACAGAACTTACTCTACTGTGGCGCCATCCTGGTAAGTGCAAATGCGATAGTTGCACCTACCGCTTCAGCGCTCACCAGTTGGCGCTACTGTCTTTGCTACTAGCGAGATTTGGCAAGTGCTGAGAAGCGCCGCAACAAACTCAATCAATACTGACCGTCCATAACGCCCCCTGTTGCGCGCCATCTTGACTGGTAGCCTCAATATGGTCCCGGTCAAGAGGGCGCGTAATCCGCAATCTTCATCGTGTTGGTTCCCGCTGAAAACCAGCTTCTCGACATGGCGCTTGTTATGTCGCGAATATAGCTGAGCGGACGCCTCTTCAGCATAGCTTGTAGTTTAATGTTATATGTACTGTATTTTTCAGGGTTCGAAAATATCGGATATTTATTATAAATATCAAAATATCGGATATTTATGATATATATCCGATATATATCAACTTTGATATATATCAATTTTGTATGAAAGCCATAGTATTATCTTATTGTATTATTCATGAATACTATTGCATATGTGTTACATAAACATGTTTTTAATGTTTTTAAAACTTAAAATCAGACAAATAAAGCAAAAACATAAAATATCTTTGAAATACGGCAAAATCAACTAAAAAAATAAAAATCTTATGTCAAAAAGTACAAATACAGTAACAAATTTTTTAAAAGTTGATATACNAAGAAAAGTAGTACGAAAATCGTTGATGGTTTAACAAAGAAATAGGAATAAATATCCTTGACACACTGTACATTGCGCCATTTGATCCCAAACTGAGTAACGCCCGTATTCACAAACGATGCTTGCTTAAGTGAAGCAACAAATCGAACGCACAGCGTTGAATAGGGCTCTGTGATTGGTTCGTGTTTGACCCTGTGCGTCCATGCGCACTGTGAGACCTCATAGTAATGTTTGTGAATATGGGTGTGAGACTTGACAAACTTTGACATTTTAAATCAAACCTCAGGGCTCGAATCAATTTAAGCCTTAATCAGGAAGTCGTTAAATAAAGTCAATTTGAACTTTAGGCCTCAAAGATAAGGTATAATATTTTTTTCCATAGCCTACCGGGTTAGGATGTGCGTCATAGTAAAATCTTATCAATGATTATAGACGAAAAATGTATGGGAAAATCGATAAATTGCCTCGCTAAAAGGTTATCATACCGTGCGTTCTAGCTTACTGGTCAGTGGTTCAAAATACACTTACCAAATACTCCTTGTAACTCGGTCCATAAGACCAGTGTATGGGGTGTACATAAAGCTGCAAGAAATTGGAAGCTGCTAACTGGATGTGAATTCTGAGCTGCTGTTGGAGGATCAGGATTTGCTCGGGCAGTATCTGAAACAATATATTTCATTATAAAAAAAAATTCGCTATCAAAAGAAGAAAAAATACGCATGTGGTGCGCTAGATGGCGACACAGTAGCTTTTTTGTAGCAGTCAGCCCTATCGCATCGGCATAGTACCAATGACTGACGTATGTAAACGAAACGGTGCTCGACTCTGAGACAAGCTAAATTACACCATATTGTTGACGGCATTGAGTAAACATTTTTTCAAATACTTTCGCGAAGAAAACTTTCTGTACTATAGTCTTTTTCACGTAAGATGATCCGTATGACACTTCAAGGTTATCCATATTACGCATACTACATATGCAGAATATTTTTGAAAAAATATTTGTATTTTATTAGCAATATAATAAAAAAAAATTAACTACTTGTCTTGAAATATATAGTAAAATCTGAGTCTATTAATTATATTTTAATTAAATACGATGTAAAAATATTTTTTATTTAATTTACGCAATGTGTGAAACGGAATAGATTTAGTGCTGGGGTANCGCCTGGCATGGAACGTGTTATGGTGGCTGAAAATATAGGAAATGACCCATTCTATCCGCCAAATAATTTTGGCACACGATGCGCCAAACACCCTGTATATCCTCGAACCCTGGTATTTTTATTTTATTTTTCTATGCTGAATAAAGTATTCTTATTCTAAGTGAAGTGTATAAGCTCGTCTTATTTGCCCTCTTCCTGAACAAGACTGCCCTTTTTCTGTTCCAAAAACTGGGTACGCCCATATAGGCTCACCGTGTTCGGCAGCTGTCTGAAGGAACTTATTTAGCATATCTATAGTATGTTTGCATGAGATTCTTCACTAGACTTACCGGACCGACGACCTCATAAAGGTAGCAGGAAGGCGCTGGATGCAGGCCGCTACTAATCACTGAGGGTGGCCTATGTTCAGCAGTCCAGTCGACGTTCTATGACTGAAATGATGATGAGACTCACAGTGTTTGTGTCGTTGACCTCGACCTGCATGCGGTGCTGGGCGGGCGGCGCCTGCAGCCCCCGGACGGAGGGCGGCGGCGCCACGTCCAAGATGTCCTGCGGCGGACGCTGCTCCTCCATGCATAGGCTCACCACTTATAGGGCCCTTCTTAGGTCAGTCTGCCTCTCCTTAGGCCAGACTGCCCCTTCTCAGGCCAGACTGTCCCTCCTTAGGCCAGATTGCCCCTCGTTAGGCCAGTCTGCCCCTCATTAGGCCAGACTGCCCCCACTGGCCCAAGCACACGGCTGTCTAGAACTCACTCACTACATATTACTCGTATAAGCTAGTGTTCCTTCACAGACTGCGGTCATAAGCTGTGTGGACCGCACGATGCAAGCTTCCGCCCACCGTCTTCCTCACCGCGTCTGACCATCTCGTCGGTGCCCTGCGATGTGTTTCTATGGGACGCTTGACAGCTATAGTCTGGTCTGTGAGCACGTAGAATTTTATCGCACACTCACTGCGGGCGCCCGTCGCACAGTCGCGACAGCAATATAATTACGCGCGAGCGATAAGGATGGGTAGCTTGGGGTCATTGGACAAAAATTCTACGTGCTCACAGACCGGGCTTCAGACTCACCGTGTTCTGGTCGTTGACCTCGACCTGCATGCGGTGCACCGCGGGCGGCGCCTGCAGCCGCCGGACGGAGGGCGGCGGCGCCACGTCCGAGATGTCCTGCGGCGGACGCTGCTCCTCCATGCAGAGGCTCACCACTTATAGGGCCCTTCTTAGGCCAGACTGCCCCCACTGGAGATTGTAAGCCACTAGCTACCTTATGTTCCGTTCTGAAGTGTCTAAGGTCGTCTTATTTGCTCCCTCTCCTGGTCCAGACTGCCTCCCCTAGGACAGACTGCCCCCTTTTTGGTCCAAAAGCTGGGTATGCCCATGTATACTCACCACTTTCGACTGTTTGGAAGAACTTACTTAGGCTATGGTCTACTATAAACACCGTAGATCACGTAGAGCGTCACGCCATAGGCTGTGTTACAATGCTTACTATAGAAGTGTACTGTTGTGGTCTCTTTCAGACGTTGACGTTGGCATATGGACACTTTGGACGTCAGCGTATGGACACTTTGGACGTCGGCGTATGGACAATTTGGACGTCGATAGGGACGTTTGACTCTGACATCCTAGTATGCGTACAATAGCGTTTAAAGGAGACCGTAGCCTTAGCTTATAGTATGTTCGTATGAGATGCCTCACCGCTAGACTCACAGTGTTTGTGTCGTTGACCTCGACCTGCATGCGGTGCACCGCGGGCGGCGCCTGCAGCCCCCGGACGGAGGGCGGCGGCGCCACGTCCGAGATGTCCTGCGGCGGACGCTGCTCCTCCATGCATAGCCTCACCACTTATAGGTTCTTTAGGCCAGACTGTTTCTCATTAGGTCAGGCTGCCTCTCCATAGGTTAGACTGTCCCTCTTTAGGCCAGATTGCTCCTCGTTAGGCCAGTCTGCCCCTCATTAGGCCAGACTGCCCCCACTGACCCAAGCACACGGCTGTCTAGAACTCACTCACTACATATTGTAAGCTAGTGTTCCTTCACAGACTGCGGTCATAAGCTGTGTGGACCGCACGATGAAAGCTTCCGCCCACCGTCTTCCTCACCGCGCCTGACCATCTCGTCGGTGCCCTGCGATGTGTTTCTATGGGACGCTTGACAGCTATAGTCTGGTCTGTGAGCACGTAGAATTTTATCGCACACTTACTGCGGGCGCCCGTCGCATAGTCGCGACAGCAATATNACTTTAAAAACGCATTGAAAATAAATTAATAGTTTTTAATTTAGAGAAACAGAACCAGTACTTTTTAGGAATCGTTTTTTTGAACACGAACCATGAAATTTGAATATTATCAATAAAAAATTGTTACAAAAATTGTGTAATAACAAATTACAATTTTTTTTTTTTTTAAAAGATTATTATCTTTTAAAAAAAAAAAAAAATTGTAATTAAAAAAAACATGTTTTTTTTTGTTAAATAACACCTATACAAAATATTTCTCTAAAAGTAGGTTATACTAACTCTTCGAAAAAAATCGATAGATAAATCGCTATGGTTTAGTTATGTGACTATGGCTAGACAAAGTGCCATTATAATCGCAAACCAGTCGAAAAGTGGTCGAAAAGCCCCTTTTTTGTATGGAATTTGACGGATTCGATTTTCGATTCGATCAAAAAGTGCGTTTTGTCTAGGGTAGGACATCTCTAAATCTTTCAAACTCGAAACGTCATACGGATCATCTTAGGTGAAAAAGACTATAGTTTATTATTATTGTGTGGCAACACTGGCGAATGACAGAACTTACTCTACTGTGGCGCCATCCTGGTAAGTGCAAATGCGATAGTTGCACCTACCGCTTCAGCGCTCACCAGTTGGCACCACTTTCTTTGCTACTGGCGAGATTTTGCAAGTGCTGAGAAGAAGCGCCGCAACAAACTCGGTTAATGCTCAATCGTTTATTACTTTCCACATTAGCGTATTCACATTCGGTCTTACAATTTAGGCAGTTATACAATGTAGACCCAGTAATCACTGTCTGTCTGTAAATAGAAAAAGTAAGGGACTCGTATTTTGGGAAGTATGTCAGCTGGCTGATGATGATAACCAAAACTTTTCAGACTATGCCTTCTTAGGCCAGACTGCCCCTCATTAGGCCAGACTGACCCTTCTTAGGCCAGACTGCCCCCACTGGTCCAAGCACACGGCTGTCTAGAACTCACTCACTACATATTATAAGCTAGTGTTCCTTCACAGACTGCGGCCATAAGCTGTGTGGACCGCACGATGCAAACGTCCGCCCACCGTCTTCCTCACCGCGTCTGACCATCTCGTCGGTGCCCTGCGATGTGTTTCTATTGACAGCTATAGTCTGGTCTGTGAGCACGTAGAATTTTGTCCAATGACCCCAAGCTACCCATCCTTATCGCTCGCGCGTAATTATATTGCTGTCGCGACTGTGCGACGGGCGCCCGCAGTAAATGTGCGAGCGCGACAATCCTNCTATGGGACGCTTGACAGCTATAGTCTGGTCTGTGAGCACGTAGAATTTTATCGCACACTTACTGCGGGCGCCCGTCGCATAGTCGCGACAGCAATATAATTACGCGCGAGCGATAAGGATAGCTTGGGGTCATTGGACAAAATTCTACGTGCTCACAGACCGGGCTTCAGACTCACCGTGTTCTGGTCGTTGACCTCGACCTGCATGCGGTGCACCGCGGGCGGCGCCTGCAGCCCCCGGACGGATGGCGGCGGCGCCACGTCCGAGATGTCCTGCGGCGGACGCTGCTCCTCCATGCATAGGCTCACCACGTTCGGTGGCTGTCTGGTGGATGAACATTAAATTATCATCATTTTAATAACGAACGTCCGACCGGAGAGGCCGCGCAGCAAGAGTTGTGGCGATCAACAAGCAAATATATACGACTAGCGGCCGCCCGCGACTTCGTACGCGTGGATCCCGTTTTACTCCCTTGTGGGTGGAGTTTCGTAAAATCCTTTGTTAGCGGATGCCTACGTCATAACATCTACCTGCATGCCAAATTCCAGCCCGATCCGTCCAGTGGTTTGGGCTGTGCGTTGATAGATCACTATGTCAGTCAGTCAGTCACCTTTGAGATAAATATATTTAGATAAGTCATAAGTCATTTTTTATTTTGATTTTGATTGTTGCACTGACGTCTTAGGCCCGGTTTCCACCAAGACGGAGCCGTGCGGAGCGAAGCAGAGAAATATTTTGAATAACCAGATTCCATTATTTACACATCTCTGCTCCGCTCCGCTTCGGTGGAAATGGATCGAGAAAAACAGCTAAGAGAAAAGTGGAGAAGTGTCGGGCGCACTTGTTTTTCTATAGAATTTGACAGCAGCCGCGGCGCAGTGCGGAGCGATGCGGAGAAGAGCGGAGCGGTACAGTGTTTCATAGATAACAATAGACTGTTGACAGCTACGCACAGTTCACACATCTCTTGTGTCCGCTCCGCTCCGCTCTTTTCCGCTCCGCTTTGGTGGAAACCGAGCATTAGGTATTCCTACTGATTTGTGTGTTTTAATTAATATTTAATTTATAACGTCAGTGTGAGTATGTGTTCGCCTCAACTTTCGTTGGTGAGTTACTTATCCGGCAAAGATGGGTTATTCGGTACATAGCCACGATAGCCGAACGGTGAAGGGGTCGGACTAGCGGACTCGTGATCCGGGGAACGTGGGTTCGGTCCCCGCCGCCGCTCGACTATTGTGGTGAGCTCACTCGTGACACAAGCATATTTAGCTTAGTACGAGGGGCTAACGGGAGTACATATTAGTAATTTGTGTAATAACGAATTACCAATATAATCTTTAAAAAAATTTAGCACTGCATGGGGATTTGTGCAATAATAGTTGTTAAAAAAAGCCATGAATCCTTACAAGTAATACATAATTTTTTTGTTGTTTTCAAATTGCCTGACTATTGTTACCTAAATGCCTTTCCTAAAATAACCTCAGTGGATAATCTTGAGTTAATTTAAAGTAATTTTCAGAAACAAATACCCACAATAATTATGTTCTAGTAAGTAAGATAATTGAAAACAACTTACTGTATGACAATACATATCGGCTGAGCCTGTACTTCGTCACCATTCTCTCGTACTACTGCCGTCTCGCTCTGATCCTCGTACTCGTGGTAGGTGGTGTCGTCTATTTCCATCTTTCCTACCGACAACTTTGTGGAAGAGCTTTTTTTCTCAAACACTATTCTGTCCACCATTTTCACTGACGTTTCGTCGTCTGAAGCCGCTTCTTGCTTGCCATCCCATCGGTTTGAAGTCTGCAAAAAATGTTCTTACATTAAAAACATAAATAAACAACCTAGTAGATGGACGAATACTGAATTTTGTCGAAAATAATTAATCTAAAAATCCTTTTAGATTAATTATTTTCGACGGATGTGAAATAGGGGATTAAAGTATGAAAGTATGCGAAAAAATTCTCAATTTCTATTCATACTTTTGGTATGAAACAGCAATGCCTTTTGCAGCAGTCACGTTAATGTGTTCGCTCAGTAGAATAAGTACTTCAGTGTTGCGTCAGTGATTCAAGTCACCCTCATGAATGTCAGTACCTACTCAGTTCACAGAGCTTCAGTGATACGTCCTTGATAGCCGGTTCGTGACTGAACTGAGCGAACACTTCATAGATATGTGTGAATCGACCTTAAAGCATAGAAATTCATATTCAAACTCTTTATTGCAAATTAAGTGTGGACCGACTATCTTGTGAAGGTCGGGAGGTGCCTGAATGCGGGCGGCGCAGGACTCGTCTTTGTGGAAATTCTTGGGGGAGGCTTTTGTCCAGCAGTGGACATCATTCGACTAAAACGAACCAAGTATAGAGGAACGTACCCGAAAATCATCGACAACTCCACTTATATTAGCCAGCTCGTGGTCCACTGACTCCTCCGGCATGATATTGAACAGCTCCGTGACCAGGTCGTTCAGCTCCTTCTTGGATATCTTGATGAGGCTTCCCTCCAGCTCGTCGTCTTCGTCCGCTGTAATGAAACAGAATAAATACTTTATTGGATACAGAATAGAGGCGGTATTTAAACGACAGGAGTATTTTTTGCTAATGTAAATTTTGTCACAGATATTGATTGGAACTTGGTGGACATAGGGCACTTCTTGTAACGAAAATAAAAGTTGAAGTGTGAAAACGGAGTGAAAGTAATCTCTGGAAATACTAAACCGATTTTGAAAATTCTTTCACTAGTATAAAGATACATTGAATATGCTTTAATACTCAGGAAGACTAATGTATCTTTCTGTGACAGAATGAAATCACGCGTTCGAAGCCGCGAAGAGCGCTAGAAAAGCTAGTAATAAATTGTTTTGACGGGCAGAAGCTACAGATCGTTTCATCCACGAAGACGCGCCCCACCTATTATTTTTTCGAGGGTAGCGCGGGGTGCGGGGAATTTAATCCGAGCAATCCGAGCGTCATCATTGTAGTGTGCGTGTGCACTCATGGATGATTTAGCGTGTACCGATAACACTCAAACATTAGCGGAATAATGGTGGCGCGTCTTCGTGGATGAAACGATCTATAATATTTCAAACTTACGAGCATCAGGATCAGCAGCGACATTGTACTCGGGGTCAGTCTCATCGTCGTCTTCGTTCTTCGACACCGAAGCTGGGTTGAGGCACTCGTTCAGGAATTCGTTCCACAGGTGGTCGTCCACCACTGGCACTGGCAGATCGTCGGGAGGCACGAACGAGCTCTCAATGTGTTCTATAGGTGTCTCTGAGAGGCACAGTTTGGAGCGAGTGCGGAGAGCTATGGTCGCCTCTTCTTCTAGATTGAGTTTTCTGCGGGCTGCTACTGGCACATCCTAGACAAGGAATTCACTTATGTAAGCCTACGAAAAGTGACCCTAGCAATGAGAATAACTTCTAATAGCTTCATATCTTCTATATCTATAAAAGCGAAAGGTCACTGATTGACTGACTCATTCATCACGAAATCTCAGAAAGTATAATTTTGCATAGGGATTCCTTTTAGAACGTATAAGCTCACTAAGACGGGATTTTGCAAAATACTCCTAAGGGGGTAAAACGGGATCCACGCGTACGAAGTCGCGGCCGGCCGCTAGTACTGAATAAAATAAACGTCAATGAACGAATTTATGATCAGCCCTATTCCTCCAGCACGACACTATTTTTTCTTATAACGAATNGATTGGAATTTGGTGGACATATTATAGGGTACTTCTTGTAACGAAAATAACAGTTGAAGTGCGAAAACGGAGATGAAAGTTATCTCTGGAAAATAGTAAATCGATTTTGAAAATTCTTTCACCAGTAGAAAGATACATTGAATATGCCTTTATACTCAGGAAGACTATAATGCCCGTTTTCACCATCAATCCCTAATTTGTAAGTGACCCCTATGGTAACACTTAACATTAATTTTGTTTTCATAGGGATCACTTAAAAATTAGGGATTAATGGTGAAAACAAGCATAAATATCTTTTTGTGACAGATTGGAATTAACGCGTTCGAAGCCGCGATTAAAAGTTAGTAATAAATAAAGTGTTTTTGATCGGGGGATTAGACGGGCGGGCGCGATGTAGTTTTTCTGTATGACAGATTAAAATCTAAGCGGGCAATGTGACAAAGGACACAAGCTTTTAATAAATAAAGTGCCTTTGCTTTGAACGGGCTACACGCTCGTAATAATAAAGACTGTAGGATATCCTGATCCAAACATGACGGGCAAAAGCGATAGATCGTTTCATCCACGAAGACGCGCCCCTCCTATTTTTAGCGGGTTGCGAGGAGTTTGATCCGAGCAATCCGAGCCTCATTATTGTTGTGTGCGTGTGCACTCATGAATGATTTAGCGTGTACCGATAACACTCAAACATTAGCGGAAGAATGGTGGGGCGCGTCTTCGTGGATGAAACGATCTGTAGTATTTCAAACTTACGAGCATCAGGATCAGCAGCGACATTGTATTCGGGGTCAGTCTCATCGTCGTCTTCGTTCTTCGACACCGAAGCTGGGTTGAGGCACTCGTTCAGAAACTCGTTCCACAGGTGATCGTCCACCACTGGCACTGGCAGGTCGTCGGGAGGCACGAATGAACTCTCAATGTGTTCTATAGGTGTCTCTGAGAGGCACAGTTTGGAGCGAGTGCGGAGAGCTATGGTCGCCTCTTCTTCTAGATTGAGTTTTCTGCGGGCTGCTACTGGCACATCCTAGACAAGGAATTCACTTATGTAAGCCTACGAAAAGTGACCCTAGCAATGAGAATAACTTCTAATAGCTTCATATCTTCTATATCTATAAAAGCGAAAGGTCACTGATTGACTGACTCACTCATCACGAAATCTCAGAAACTACAATTGCTAGTCTCTTTTGCATGGGGATTCCTTTTAGAACGTAGGTGCTCACTAAGATGGGATTTTGCAAAATACTCTTAAGGGGGTAAAACGGGATCCACGCGTACGAAGTCGCGGGCGGCCGCTAGTACTGAATAAAATAAACGACAATGAACGAATTCATGATCAGCCCTATTCCTCCAGCATGACACTATTTTTTCTTATAACGATCTATCACGGAAGCTGGGTTGAGAAATTCGTTCCACAGGTGGTCGTCCACCACTGGCACTGGCAGGTCGTCGGGAGGCACGAATGAACTCTCAATGTGTTCTATAGGTGTCTCTGAGAGGCACAGTTTGGAGCGAGTGCGGAGAGCTATGGTCGCCTCTTCCTCTAGATTTAGCTTCCTGCAGGCTGCTACTGGTACATCCTAGACAAGGAATTCACTTATGCAAGTCTACGAAAACTAACCCAAGAAATGAGAATAAATTTTAAAAACAGCTTCACAATCTAACTTCTCACAGACAGACAATACCCCCTAAAAAGAGATTCTAGTGTACTATATATACTATTTATCTAGATATGTTAAGTGATTTCCAAACTGGCTGATATGGTAGATAGATTCAACTACAAATATTAATAGTCGCCTTCCCTTTTAGGCTAAGAACTCATGGCGCGATTTTCACCCGCGCCCGCGGCGGTTGCGGGCCCGCAGCTTCTGTAGAATGCAGATGTAACAACAACAACAGCGGGCGCGGTTGTAATCGGGTCCCGGCGAAAACCGCCCGATTGGTTACCATTTTGTACCAGTGACTTAGCACGCGGAGCGATTTAAAATCGCGCCGTGAGTTCTTAGAATATCTGCGCCAATAACTGCTCCCGTGAGTTTTGAAATAAAACCGCAATTTCACAACCGCCGCGGGCGCGGGTGAAAATCGCGTCGTGAGTTCTAAGCCTTAGCTGTATCTTTCTGCGAGCTACCATTGGCACATCACTCATCTGGCTGTAATGCCACTCTAACTATAGTACTCGACAGTGAGCAGATGACCACCTTTAAAATTAAAAATACACAGAACAGTTTTATTTTGTAGAGTATGTAAGCGTCACTGTCGACGCAGTGTATCGTACTAAAGCCCGGTCTGTGAGCACGTAGAATTTTGTCCAATGACCCCAAGCTACCCATCCTTATTGCTCGCGCGTAATTATATTGCTGTCGCGACTGTGCGACGGGCGCCCGCAGTGAGTGTACGAGCGCGACAGCAATATAATTACGCGCGAGCGATAAGGATGGGTAGCTTGGGGTCATTGGACAAAATTCTACATGCTCGCAGACCAGACTATAGACGTACGCGTCGTAGTCGTAGACCAAGTGTACGAAGACGCGTACGCTACACTGCTGTGGTAGACTTACCGGTGGCACTTTGAAAGGTCCATCTTTAACGACTACAGGGCTGCTTTTGCTCTGACTCCTGGGAGTGGCCGGTGTGCGAGGCTGGGAGTCCAAGTCACTGCATGATTCCAGGCCTTGATCGTCATCACTCTGTGACAAATAACATTATTACCTACGACTAAGCTTAAAATAAAGGAAAAAAAACTGAAAGACATTAATATTAAGAGAGCTGACAGACAAGCGAAATTGTTATAGTTATACAGGGTGGAATTTTGTAATGCCCCCTGGACTGGAGGGAAAGTACCCTTAATACTGTAGATAGAAAATTTTACTCAAAGAAAACATTCTTTTATTTTTTTAAAAAGAAAGAGAACTGCATTCAAAGATTTTTGAATTTTTTTCAAAAATTTACCACGTTACCTTACAATTTTCTGTAAATAATAACAATAATTTAAGATTTCATGGTTTTCCTTTAATTTGATTTATCAAGTTTGTTTGAGAGATTTCATCCTTATACTCAACCCTAACGATCGACGCAATAAAAATACAGGGTGTAATTTTTAACAGATTTTAGTTGATTAGATTCCCGAGTGCAGCAAGCAAATTTTTGAAAATCTTTGAATGCAGTTTTATTTCTTTTCAAAAATAAAGGAATGTTTTCTTTGAGTAAAATTTTAAGAGTACTTTCCCTTCAGGTGGCAATACAAAATTCCACCCTGTATATAACAGTGATAGGCGACAACAGATATCTGTGTAGGCGACGGTCAGCGACTAGGCGACTGTCAGCGATAGTTTCCGTGCGAGTCGGACATTCGCTGTCATGAGATGTTCACACTCTCTGATACTATGTTATATTAGAGACTGTCCGTCTTCGCGAGTCGCGATGATCGACTAATTATGTCGCAAGCAGTCGCCGATATACTTTCGTTCTGAGTCCGTTAAAGGACACCAAATATTAATATTATTTATTAACTAGGTAGGCTTTGTTCATTCGTTTCAGCCGAAAGACGTCCACTGCTGGACAGAGGCCTCCTCCAAGGTTTTCCACAAAGACCTACGCCGCGCGCATCCAGGCACCTCCCGCGACCTTCACCAGATCGTCGGTCCACCTAGTGGGAGGCCTGCTGCCCTAGGCTACCAATTTATTAAATAACATTTGTTAAGAATTTGTTGGGGTGATGAAAGTTCTTTGTATGGTCCTTTTACTGTTCAGTATAAGTAAAAACTATACTAACCGGTACATCATCATTTGTAGGCTCATATTCTTCGTCATCTTCGTCTTCTGGCAGTTCTTGTGCGATGAGCGCTTTAACTTCCGGCCTCGTCTTCACCGGTATGTGTTTGATGGGCGTCAATTCCAAGTTTTCTAGGTTCCATGGGGCTGTTTTAGGCGACACTTTCATCAATTCCCTGTAAGTAAATTAACCAAAAGATCGTAAGCATATTTTCTGGACACAAATGATATTTTTTGTTCTACTGTAAAGATAGATACAAACTCAATAGCAGAAATAGATCTCATTGTTTCTTCATCTTTGCCCTAGCCATTTCCCATTATTTCAATTAATTAACCCCATTGTTTGCTGATTTGATATTTCTATGGTTTTTATACTCACTTGACTTTAGCCCGAGTGAGTTTGGGCTGGAGCTTGCTGTCTTCCGTACTGGACTTTTCTTCTTCTTCCCGCAGCTTGACCAGGGCCAGTACGTGGTCATTTGTCACTACTTTCTGCAATATTGATAAGATAAGATATTTATTTATTTGCTTATAATATTATTATGGCATACATAATTGAATATTGGTGTCACATGTTTTTATTGTTGAAATTAGAATATAACTGCTGTAGAAGGCTCTAATGAAATGACTCTAAAAACTTGATCAAAACCCAAGCTTAAATCTAGAGATTAGTTGAATGACAAACCACTATTAAAAGTGAAATAAATGTTCTTTTCTGCTTTAAATAAGCATTACAGGCCATTAAAAATAATACAATCATTTTTGGACCAATCTATTCATTGAAAATATCTATTCTAATCTANATGTAAGCTTACGAAAACAGACCCTAGCAATGAGAACTTCTAAGAACAACTTCATATTGTAAATGAAATAAACGTTAATAAACGAATTCATGATCAGCCCTATTCCTCCAGCACGACACTATTTTTTCTTATAGCGAACTATCCATCACGGAAGCTGGGTTGAGACACTCGTTCTTTAGGTGGTCGTCCACCACTGGCACTGGCAGATCGTCGGGAGGCACGAACGAGTTCTCGATGTGTTCAATTGGTGTCTCTGAGAGGCACAGTTTGGAGCGAGTGCGGAGAGCTATGGTCGCCTCTTCTTCTAGATTTAGCTTCCTGCGGGCTGCTACTGGTACATCCTAGACAAGGAATTCACTTATGTAAGCTTACGAAAACAGACCCTAGCAATGAGAACTTCTAAGAACAACTTCATATTGTAAATGAAATAAACGTTAATAAACGAATTCATGATCAGCCCTATTCCTCCAGCACGACACTATTTTTTCTTATAACGAACTATCCATCACGGAAGCTGGGTTGAGACACTCGTTCTTTAGGTGGTCGTCCACCACTGGCACTGGCAGATCGTCGGGAGGCACGAACGAGTTCTCGATGTGTTCAATTGGTGTCTCTGAGAGGCACAGTTTGGAGCGAGTGCGGAGAGCTATGGTCGCCTCTTCTTCTAGATTTAGCTTCCTGCGGGCTGCTACTGGTACATCCTAAACAAGGAATTCACTTATGTAAGCCTACGAAAAGTGACCCTAGCAATGAGAATAACTTCTAATAGCTTCATATCTTCTATATCTATAAAAGCGAAAGGTCACTGATTGACTGACTCACTCATCACAAAATCTCAGAAACTACAAGTGCTAGGAGTCTCAAATTTTGCATGGGTGTGCCTTTTAGCACGTAGTGCTCACTAAGACGGGATTTTGCAAAATACTCCTAAGGGGGTAAAACGGGATCCACGCGTACGAAGTCGCGGGAGGCCGCTAGTATGAATAAAATAAACGACAATGGACGAATTCATGATCAGCCCTATTCCTCCAGCACGACACTATTTTTTCTTATAACGAACTATCCATCACAGAAGCTGGGTTGAGAAATTCGTTCCACAGGTGATCGTCCACCACTGGCACTGGCAGATGGTCGGGAGGCACGAATGAACTCTCAATGTGTTCTATAGGTGTCTCTGAGAGGCACAGTTTGGAGCGAGTGCGGAGAGCGATGGTCGCCTCTTCTTCTAGATTGAGTTTTCTGCGGGCTGCTACTGGCACATCCTAGATAAGGAATTCACTTATGTAAGCCTACGAAAAGTGACCCTAGCAATGAGAATAACTTCTAATAGCTTCATATCTTCTATATCTATAAAAGCGAAAGGTCACTGATTGACTGACTCACTCATCACAAAATCTCAGAAACTACAAGTGCTAGGAGTCTCAAATTTTGCATGGGTGTGCCTTTTAGCACGTAGTGCTCACTAAGACGGGATTTTGCAAAATACTCCTAAGGGGGTAAAACGGGATCCACGCGTACGAAGTCGCGGGAGGCCGCTAGTATGAATAAAATAAACGACAATGGACGAATTCATGATCAGCCCTATTCCTCCAGCACGACACTATTTTTTCTTATAACGAACTATCCATCACAGAAGCTGGGTTGAGAAATTCGTTCCACAGGTGGTCGTCCACCACTGGCACTGGCAGATGGTCGGGAGGCACGAACGAGCTCTCGATGTGTTCGATAGGTGTCTCTGAGAGGCACAGTTTGGAGCGAGTGCGGAGAGCTATGGTCGCCTCTTCCTCTAGATTTAGCTTCCTGCGGGCTGCTACTGGCACATCCTAGACAAGGAATTCACTTATGTAAGCTTACGAAAACAGACCCTAGCAATGAGAACTTCTAAGAACAACTTCATATTGTAAATGAAATAAACGTTAATAAACGAATTCATGATCAGCCCTATTCCTCCAGCACGACACTATTTTTTCTTATAGCGAACTATCCATCACGGAAGCTGGGTTGAGACACTCGTTCTTTAGGTGGTCGTCCACCACTGGCACTGGCAGATCGTCGGGAGGCACGAACGAGTTCTCGATGTGTTCAATTGGTGTCTCTGAGAGGCACAGTTTGGAGCGAGTGCGAAGAGCGATGGTCGCCTCTTCCTCTAGATTTAGCTTCCTGCGGGCTGCTACTGGCACATCCTAGACAAGGAATTCACTTATGTAAGCCTACGAAAAGTGACTCTAGCAATGAGAATAACTTCTAACAGCTTCATATTCTGAATGAAATAAACGTCAATTTATGACCAGCCCTATTCCTCCAGCACGACACTATTTTTTCTTATAACGAATTATCTATCAAGGAAGCTGGGTTGAGACACTCGTTCCACAGATGATCGTCCACCACTGGCACTGGCAGGTCGTCGGGAGGCACGAACGAGCTCTCGATGTGTTCGATAGGCGTCTCTGAGAGGCACAGTTTGGAGCGAGTGCGGAGAGCGATGGAGCGATTTAGCTTCCTGCGGGCTGCTACTGGCACATCCTAGACAAGGAATTCACTCATGCAAGTCTACGAAAACTGACCCTAGCAATAACTTCTAAAAACTACATATATTCTATATCTACAGGGTGGAAACGATAAGTGATCTCATTGGATTATTTCTTAACTATACAAGATATCGAGAAAGTGGTTACTGATCCTGAAAGTGCTTCACGAGCTCTATCGAACGGTACCAATAATAGGTTACAGAATTAACTGGATCTATCCGAAAATTAAATGTTTTCAGCCTCCATACTAAATGTATGCCAGCCAAACAATATTTGAAGTATTTTTTTTTATTAAATAATAAACACAAAATGAACTCGCAAATTGCATTCTTATTATTGGTTTTAGGCTTTACTTGCTATAATAATATTATCAAGACATGAGTGCCATGACTGTGGCTGTACTAAATGTATGGAAGCTGGAAACATTGAATTTCGGATGGATCCAGTTTATTTTATAACCTATTATTGGTATCGTTGGATAGAGCTCGTGAAGCACTTTCAAGATAAGTAACCAGTTTTTGAATATTTTGTATAGTTTTTAATATTACGTGGTTTTAACAAATGTATGGAAGCTGGAAACTTTGAATTTTCGGATAGATTCAGTTTATTATGTAACTTATTATTGGTACCGTTTGAAAGAGCTTGTGAAGCACTATCAGAATCAGTAATCAGTTTTTCGATATCTTGTATAGTTTAGAAATAATCGAGTGAGATCACTTAACGTTTCCACCCTGTATAAAAGCGAAAGGTCACTGATTGACTGACTCACTCATCACGAAATCTCAGAAAGTATAATTTTGCATAGGGATTCCTTTTAGAACGTAGGTGCTCACTAAGACGGGATTTTGCAAAATACTCCTCCTAAGGGGGTAAAACGGGATCCACGCGTACGAAGTCGCGAGCGGCCGCTAGTTATGAATAAAATAAACGACAATGAACGAATTCATGATCAGCCCTATTCCTCCAGCTTGACACTATTTTTTCTTATAACGAACTATCCATCACGGAAGCTGGGTTGAGAAATTCGTTCCACAGGTGATCGTCCACCACTGGCACTGGCAGGTCGTCGGGAGGCACGAATGAACTCTCAATGTGTTCTATAGGTGTCTCTGAGAGGCACAGTTTGGAGCGAGTGCGGAGAGCGATGGTCGCCTCTTCTTCTAGATTGAGTTTTCTGCGGGCTGCTACTGGCACATCCTAGATAAGGAATTCACTTATGTAAGCCTACGAAAAGTGACCCTAGCAATGAGAATAACTTCTAACAGCTTCATATTCTAAATAAAATAAACGACAATGAACGAATTCATGATCATGATCACATGATCACGGTGAAATGCGAATAGGTGAAAAGCTACAAGGATTTTTTGATTTCGAGGTATAGGACTAACAAACGCGTCCACCACTGGCACTGGCAGATCGTCGGGAGGCACGAACGAACTCTCGATGTGTTCGATAGGTGTCTCTGAGAGGCACAGTTTGGAGCGAGTGCGGAGAGCTATGGTCGCCTCTTCCTCTAGATTTAGCTTCCTGCGGGCTGCTACTGGCACATCCTAGACAAGGAATTCACTTATGTAGGCCTACAAAAACTGAACCTAGCAATAACTTCTAAAAACTTCATATCTTCTATATCACTATAAAAGCGAAAGGTCACTGATTGACTGACTCACTCATCACGAAATCTCAGAAACTACAAGTGCTAGGAGTCTCAAATTTTGCATGGGGGTGCCTTTTAGAACGTAGTGCTCACTAAGACGGGATTTTGCAAAATAATCCTAAGGGGGTAAAACGGGATCCACGCGTACGAAGTCGCGGGCGGCCGCTAGTACTGAATAAAATAAACGACAATGAACGAATTTATGATCAGCCCTATTCCTCCAGCTTGACACTATTTTTTCTTATAACGAACTATCCATCACGGAAGCTGGGTTGAGACACTAGTTCCACAGGTGGTCGTCCACCACTGGCACTGGCAGGTCGTCGGGAGGCACGAATGAACTCTCAATGTGTTCGATTGGTGTCTCTGAGAGGCACAGTTTGGAGCGAGTGCGGAGAGCTATGGTCGCCTCTTCCTCTAGATTTAGCTTCCTGCGGGCTGCTACTGGTACATCCTAGACAAGGAATTCACTTATGTAAGCCTACGAAAACTGACTCAAGCAATGAGAATAACAATGATAGCTTCATAATCTAACATCACACAGACAGACACAATACCCCCTTAGAGATTCAAATGTACTATTTATCTAGATATGTTAAGTGATTTCCAAACTGGCTGATATGGTAAATAGATTCAACTACAAATATTGATAGTCGCCTGGGAAGGCGAGATGCGAGAAAGATACAGGTAAAAGGGATTTTACCTGTATCTTTCTGCAAGGTACCATTGACACATCACTCATATACACTCGCGAGCAAAAGTATGGAATCACCATAGTTGTTCCGAGCGATCGTAAGAACTAAATGACTAATAGAAGATAATTAAAAATGGCACTATTTTAAAGGTAATGTTTTACACTTTAAATTGATACTATAAATACATACATAATCATTCAGTTCTTAAGATGGCTCGGAACCAAACACAACGGCGTGATTCCATACTTTTGCTCGTAAGTATAGTTATAATGCCACTCTACCTTTAGTACTCGACAGTGAGCAGATAACCACCTTTAAAATTAAAACTACACAGAACAGTTTTATTTTGTAGAGTATGTAAGCGTCACTGTCGACGCGGCGTATCGTACTAAAGCCCGGTCTGTGAGCACGTAGAATTTTGTCCAATAAGCCCAAGCTACCCATCCTTATACGGGTCTTTAAGGAAATGTATGTACAACAATGCAATGTAAGCAATGTAAAAAATGTTAAAGTTGTTAAATAAACTTTTATTTATTTATTTACTTATTAGTCGCGCGTAATTATATTGCTGTCGCGACTGTGCGACGGGCGCCCGCAGTAAGTGTACGAGCGCGACAGCAATATAATTACGCGCGAGCGATAAGGACGGGTAGCTTGGGGTCATTGGACAAAATTCTACATGCTCGCAGACCAGGCTTTAGACGCGTACGCGTCGTAGATAAAGTGTACGAAGACGCGTACGCCACACTGCTGTGGTAGACTTACCGGTGGCACTTTGAAAGGTCCATCTTTAACGACTACAGGGCTGCTTTTGCTCTGACTTCTGGGAGTGGCCGGTGTACGAGGCTGGGAGTCCAAGTCACTGCATGATTCCAGGCCTTGATCGTCATCACTCTGTCAGAAATAATTTCTTATTAAGACTAAGCGCAGACCACCGACTTTTAGTTGGCCGATAGTTGGGCCCGATTTTATTTTGTATCAAGAATCGGCCGATATCAAACCAAAACGGTGTAATGTGCGCACATACTGAGTAACTGCCCGACTAAACTATCGGCCAACTAAAAATTGGCGGTCTGCGCTTAGGCTAAGATTAAGTTTAGATCACAGAAAATAAAGTAAAATAATAAAAAAAACTGAGACATTTTAATAAGAGAGCTCACAGACAAGCGATATTATGTCGGCGACTGCTTGCGATAGTGATAGGCGACGGTCGGCGACTAGGCGACTGTCGGCGAAAGTCTTCGCGAAAGTCTCTGTCTTGACATGTTTAGGCGATTATCACACTGCACCGCGCTCCGGCGCGGTCCGCGTGGCGACATATAACGAATACCGCGCGCAGGACGCGTTGTCAGTGTGTTGTGCCGCGCGTGTTTTCTATACAAATTGAGGTACTTGCATATAATGATTAAATCTGTCGTCCCGCGTACCGCGGCGGAGCGCGGTGCAGTATGATAATCACCTTACACTCTCTGACACTATATTATCTTAGAGACTGCCCGTCTTCGAGAGTCGCGATGCGTCGGCGACAGTCGACTAATTAAAACGCAAGCAGTCACCGATTTACTATCGCTCGTCTGTGAGCTCCGTTAAAGGACATAAAACATTAATATTATTTATTAACTAGGTAGGCTTTGTTCATTCGTTTCAGCCGAAAGACGTCCACTGCTGGACAGAGGCCTCCTCCAAGGTTTTCCACAAAGACCTACGCCGCGCGCATCCAGGCACCTCCCGCGACCTTCACCAGATCGTCGGTCCACCTAGTGGGAGGCCTGCTGCCCTAGGGTACCAATTTATTAAATAACATAATATGTTAAGAATTTGTTGGGGTGATGAAAGTTCTTCATATGGTCCTCTTAGGCCCAGAACAGACGGTGAAACGCAACTGCAACGAAACTGCAACTTTCTGATGATTCTGATGAATGAAACTGAAAGTTTCAAACTGGTCGCGTCATGTGTGGTCTCTCAACGGACGCTATGGCAGAAACTTAGATGCAACTCAAAAGTAACTAGCAGTTGCAGTTTCGTTGCAGTTGCGTTTCACCGTCTGTTCTGAGCCTTGCTGTTCAGTATAAGTAAAAACTATACTAACCAGTACATCATCATTTGTAGGCTCATATTCTTCGTCATCTTCGTCTTCTGGCAGTTCTTGTGCGATGAGCGCTTTGACTTCCGGCCTCGTCTTCACCGGTATGTGTTTGATGGGAGTCAATTCCAAGTTTTCTAGGTTCCATGGGGCTGTTTTAGGCGACACTTTCATCAATTCCCTGTAAGTAAATTAACCAAAAGATGTTATTACGAATATGTAAGAAAATTAAGAATTATTCGATAAAATCATATTTTCTGGACACAAATGATATTTTTTGTTCTACTGTGAAGATGGATAGACTCAATAGCAGAAAAATTGATCTCATTGTTTCTTCTTCTTTGCCCTAGCCATTTCCCATTATTTAAATTAATTGACCCCATTGTTTGCTGATTTTATATTTCTATGGTTTTTATACTCACTTGACTTTAGCCCGAGTGAGCTTGGGCTGGAGCTTGCTGTCCTCCGTGCTGGACTTTTCTTCTTCTTCCCGCAGCTTGACCAGGGCCAGTACGTGGTCATTTGTCACTACTTTCTGCAATATTGATAAGATAAGATATTTATTTATTTGCTTATAATATTATTATGGCATACATAATTAAATATTGGTGTCACATGTTTTTATTGTTGAAATTAGAATATAACTGCTGTAGAAGGCTCTAATGAAATGACTCTAAAAACTTGATCAAAACCCAAGCTTAAATCTAGAGATTAGTTGAATGACAAACCACAATTAAAAGTGAAATAAATGTTCTTTTCTGCTTTAAATAAGCATTACAGACCATTAAAAATAATACGATCATTTTTGGACCAATCTATTCATTGAAAATATCTATTCTACACTGTAATTTCTTAATATAGACTTAAGAATACAACTCTAAATATATTTTTAAACTACATAGGTAATCATTTTACTTCAGTTTATGGCAAACAAAGTCAGCCCCCCTAGACAAAACGCACTTTTTGATCGAAAATCGAATCCGTCAAAACTCCATACAAAAAAGGGGCTTTTCAACCACTTTGCGACTGGTTTGCGATTATTATTTGCACTTTGTCTAGACCCACAGATATCTTAGAAATGTCTGAGTTAATACCTTCAAAATCTTCTTCACGCTGACATCATCTAGATTGTTTTTCACAGCTGAGGCTATTACATTCTTCTCAACCTCAAATGCATTTTCTGGAAGCACCTCTTCTGAGTGAGTACTGCTATTGCTACTATCTCTCCTGGTGAACAAACAACTTACTTTTAATAACCTAGAGATACAAATAAACCGAAATTTCAACAAATATAATGTTTAATTTACCTTTTACGCTTTTTTCCACGACTTCGCATTTTATTTTTTGGGCTGATATCTGAATTGCCGCCTTCGTCTTCATCTGAAGGCTTTTTGGGGTCACAATCTGGCTTCTCCATGTTACTATTTTATCAAAAGATACATAAAAATACAATAAGATATTAGCACAATTATTTATTCAATCTAAAGCTGTAATTATTTCACAAATTAGAAAATAAAAACATTTTTTCGCACTCCGTTGCGATTGCTAAATTTTTAGATTTGTTTTTTTTTCTGCAACAATGACATTGACAGCCATACAACATGACATTTTACTTTTTTACGATAACCCCAAATCGCTTCGTTCTGAAAGTTCTTGTTCACTTCTAGCAAAAAGTTTTGGAAAAACAATTTCATCATACCAAAACGGGTGATGAAATGAACAATAACAATAAAATTATTCTTGTTAGATATTTAAAAACATTACCAATCGTTATCTCAGAATTGCTAAAATCAAGTGGCAGTGGGCGGGGCACATAGCTCGTAGAGACGATGGCCGTTGGGGCAGAAAAGTTCTCCAGTGGCGGCCACGGGCTGGAAGACGTAGCGTGGGCAGGCCTCCTACTAGGTGGACCGACGATCTGGTAAAGGTCGCGGGAAGAGCCTGGATGCGGGCAGCGCAGGACCGTGCATTGTGGAAAACCTTGGAGGAGGCCTTTGTCCTGTCCAGCAGTGGACGTCATCTGGCTGAAACGAACGAAGGGGTAGGTACTTTGTTGCCAAAAAGATTAAGTAATAAATTAATGATTGCACACATCTGCAACCTCTGCCTTTCCTTAGGTTGCTTTCCGGATGCTTTTAAAAAGGCACTAGTTCACCCAATCTACAAGTCTGGGGATCGAAACCGTGTCAATAACTACCGTCCTATATCGGTTCTGCCAGCCTTGTCGAAAATCTTAGAGCGGTTAATAAACAACAGACTGATCAAATTCATTGAGGAGCGGGATTTCTTGTCTCCTGGTCAACACGGCTTTAGACAGGGTAAATCTACAGCTGATGCGGTTCATGAACTTACCGACCACGTCTCTAGAAATCTGGACAGGGGCAAGAAATGTCTTTCGATCTTCCTAGACCTGGCCAAGGCTTTTGACACGGTTTCCATCCCCATCCTGCTGGCCAAATTGGAGGCGATAGGTGTTAGAGGCAACCAGCTTTCTCTATTCCGCAGTTACTTTACAGGTCGCTCTCAGTCGGTCGTAATAGACGGAAATGTGAGTTCTGAGGTCCCTATAGAGTACGGTGTTCCCCAGGGAAGCATTCTCGGCCCCACGCTTTTCCTGGTGTACATCAACGATCTCTGCTCCCTTCCCATCCCAAACTGTAAAATTATTTCCTTTGCCGATGACACAGCCCTCGTATTTGCAGCCGACTCATGGGGTGACACTTTCCGGCGAGCACAGTCTGGATTTCACCAGGTCTCCTTATGGTTACAAAAAAACCTTCTAACGCTCAACGTAAAAAAAACCCATTATATGACGTTCTCTATTAACAAAATCCCAACAAATACCCTTAGTGGTCTTCGATTAATTGCCCATACTCACCCCCTTCTATCTGACCTACCTTGTAACTGTTCACCACTGTCTTCGACTGATGAAATTAAATATCTAGGCATAACTATAGATTCGAGACTAACTTTTAAATCCCATATCGTAGCTACAGCCGGGAGACTCCGCAAGCTTATGTTTGTCTTTCGTAGGCTTCGCCACGTAGCAGACCCCAGCCTTGTCAGGACAGTCTATGTAGCCCTCTGCCAGTCACTTTTGATTTATTGCATAACCTCTTGGGGAGGTGCCTGCAAGACTGTCCTGATAAAGCTGGAACGAGCTCAAAGGGCCATCCTTAAAATTTGCACCTTCAAACCGCTGCTTTTCCCTACGTATGAGCTCTTCCAATACTGCCAAGTTTTAACCGTCCGCCAACTCTTCATCTTGTATATTGTCTTAAAACAACACCATCTAGCAAATTTCGATCCCTCTGTTGTCCGACGTAATCACCTGGTAGTTCCCTCTTCTTCTTTTAAAACTTACTTCTCTCATCGCTTCTACTGTTTCTTGGGTCCTTTTTTGTATAATGCTCTTCACCATAATTTAGATCTCCACTCCTTGCCCAAATTTCATTGTAAGTACAAGGTCTCAAATTACTTGCAATCCTTGACGTATGCTGAAACGGAAAACCTGCTTCAACCAATTAGGTAACTTTAATACGGGCAGATGGTTCATTACTAACACACACGCACACTCACTCACATACACCTACACTCACATACACTCACACTTACATACACCTACACTCACATACACTCTCACTCACATACACTCTCACTCTCATTACACTCACTCTCACATCACTTACACTTCACCTTTTACACACTCTCTTTCAATACTCGTCTAGTTTTTGTCTAGTTTTTGTCTAGTTTTAAAATAACTTTAATAAATTCTATGTGCTCCGGCCATTATCGAGAGAGGAGAGTACTGGCGCTCTGTAGTACAGGCTTCTCGCCTAGTTCAGACTCCAGTTCTCTCACAATCTTACCCTGTTCAATTAGTACATAGCAATTTGTGTTTCACTGTAATAATGGATTGTGAAAGAAATAAATAAATGCTTTTTATTATTTTTATTATTTTTTTTTTAATGATGATTGAAGAAAATACATGGGAACAAATCAATATAATTACTTATTTATTTTAAAAATATTCACAGAACTATGAAAAATATATTTCAATGAATTATAGCAATTTCTGAGCCTTTTCGTTAAATTCAGCTAAGAGCTGCTTCATATCTTCATAACCTGACACATCCTGTGCCTGCTGCAAGGGAAGCCACTTCAAATCCTGATGTTCATCTGAGAGCTTTACTTCTTTGAGAGGATCTCTCAGTTTGGCAAGCCAATAAACTACAACTTTTGGCTTGTTTTTCACTGTGTAGTTCAAAGTTTTGGAAATGTCCTGATATATCTAGAAAAAATAATATTAATGTCAATAACAGAGTTGAAAAAATTGTAGTAAGTTATTACAATATGTTATTATTTCTGTAGAATTTAACCACTAGGAATTGCATTATGACTAAATTAGTTTTGCAATAATAATAATACTAAAGTAATATCTGACATCTAAGTCCTCTTCTGCTAACCCAGCTTCCTCCTTAGTTTCTCTGAGAGCTGTGACCCAATCTGATTCCCCTGGATCCACATGACCTAAAAGTAAAAAAAGCCCGTATGTTTCAAGACGTTTCACTTAAATTGACAATATTATTTGATTATTGTAAAGTTCTTATGAGCATTCATAATTAAATTAACCTTTAGGAGGAGTCCAATGATGTTCTCCATAAGATGTTTGCAATAGTAAAAACTGTACAGCTTGGTTCATATTTCTGAAGATAACCAAACCTGCCGCTTTCGTTGGTGACATATTAAGTAGATATCTTGTTGGTCAAATAATTAACAAAATAACTTAGGTAACTAGATTTCTAGTAGGAAATTAATTTAAGTATTGCAAAACAATAAGTCAAAATCAGCTGGCAATGCAGAAATCAGCCGGTTTGTGACAAAATGTCAAAGTCAAACAAAATCAATGTCAAAACGTTCCAAACATCCAGAATCGGTTTAAAATTCAGACCAAAAATTAAGTTTAAAATATTGTTTTGCTTCAAATACGCACCATTGAAGCCATTAGACAGAATAATTATAAAATGTTTTTTACTAAAAAAAGTTTGAAACTACTATAGTGTGCAATTTTTCATTTGTTGAAATAGTTTATTTGATCGAAAATACTTATTAAAATTGTACTACTTTAAGTACTACAAACAAAGATTATAGAGTATCATCGCCGTCTCTTCACTATTACTTCAGTAGTACCACTACCAGAAAAATAAACTGAATGATTGAATGAATGGTTCTTTGCATGAATGGAACGACAGCTGTCTTTCTTGTCAAAGTTTAAAAAACAAGAATTCAAACTGCAACGGCGATTAACTACATTTTTAAAACATCTGTTATGAAATTGTTTGTTTATTTGTTCTTACCTAAACCTTACAAATAGTGAAAGTGAGGGATTAATGAAATCCTAGTGATATAAATTGTTCTTCAACATGTTACAGAAATGGAAAGACATACTCACAAACTGGGTAAGTTTGATAGACGCCAGGCGTTTTTGTATGAGCGTTACTTCGATGTTTAATTTTAATAAAATACGTTTATCTGTAACGAATCAATTTCCTTCACTTAGATAAACTGCTACTTCAGCGATTCCGATTCAAGAGAGGAGCGTGTAACTGCAGAATCGTTGCTCAACATCATATCGCATTTACGCGAAAATCTCAATTTGGACGAATCAAAGTCTTCGATACTCGAAGCGCATACGATCGAGGAGTTTGTGCGGGAGAAATACCCTGATTTTCAGTTCAACAGTGGCTCTGTAGAAGCTTCGAATGAGGACGAGCTGTGCTTGACCGCGTCCCTGCTCCTGTACTTTGTATGTGTGAACTCTAAGGACGTGAACATAAAGCACGCTATGTGCAGCCAACTGGGCAGCGAAGATCAGGAGGTCATACTGAAGTTCAGTAAATGTTTGATGGAGTGTGCCCCGGTAACTTACAAAGATGTCCAAGCAGCTATTACTGGTGAGTGAATAATCATACTAAGATACACTATTTCAAAAGATAAATTATCTAATTACCTAGATTACACATTGCTAGATAAATAGGTTTACTCCTTATAAAACATTACTGAACTATTGATTGAGTATTCATTCAACACAATTTAAGTTGGTAAAATATATAATTGCCTTTATTGCTCAATATGAATCAATTCATGTATTTCACTATATTCTATAATACTATCTATACCTAAGAACAAAGGTTTGTTCTTATAATGAGCTTTGAAAGTTATTATTATTATTAACACAAAGCAGCTGCTTGCATTTGCTGTATTCAAATGAACTGTCTGGTATTATTAAACATTTATTAATAATACCTTGTTTCACAAGTTATTTGGTATTATTAAAAACATGTCCTAACATGGCTCTTTTTTCTCTTATTAGGGGTCCATTATCTCAAAAAGATAAAATGGAACCCTTAGTTAGTTATTTATGTTATTACAGTAGAACTTTTTCAAAATGATGCGATTAATAAATTGAAATAAACTTTACTGATCTTCCATGGACTAGAGGACTAGTTTTCTGACCAGAGAGTTTACAAAGTTTTTTATCTACTTGCATGTTTCCCATGTTTCTGTAGGAGTTTGTTTATATTTTAAAATAAAAATTTACATGAACTGCTACTGAGTTGTGTACATTGTTTTGAGTTTAAATTAATCTGTTTTCTCTCAAATGTAGATCTGTCTACCTGAATTGAAGAAATAATAATATTAGTATAATCCATTCACAGAAGCCTGCGGTCAAGACCTGGCAGCTACCGGTCCGAGCGGCTCACGAATGGTGTCTGAGACACCTCCAGCGCTTCGTTCTCTTCATGGAGAAGTGCGACGCCTGCAAGCTGCATTGGACGCTGAGCGGTTTGACCGCAACTACCTTCAAGAAGAACTGGCTCGGACTAATTTAAGGGTGGAGACTTTAGGTAGGACTTTTATCTTTATACAATAGGGTAGTTGATATGATCTCTTAAAGTGCAATTCTTCCATACATTTTTGGCGGACTTGAAGGACAACCTTTACTTATTGTGTACAAACTAGATAAAATAATTTAAAAAAAGATAACTAATCAGCTAGCCAGTATTTGATTCTCTGTTTCTTTGTGGTAAACATTATCATAAATATTTTTATCAGTTGTGCCCCTGTTGCACATGTTTCTGAGCCCTCTAACTACCCAAGGCTACTACTATTACGTCACGCTCGCTCTCTTACTCTCTAGACCAGCGGTTCCCAAACTTATTTTGTCTACTGCCAACTTTGAGAATAAATTCTTTTTAGCGCCCCCATTTGTAGTCGAGTGTCGAGTGCTCAGTCGGTGTCTAAGAGTCCTCCTAGTAAATGACGCCTCCCAAGCCTCTACACAACGTCACGATTTTTTTTTTCTGGGTCTCTTACTGCCCCCCTTTAAGCCTGCAGCACCCACAAGGGGGCGTTATCGCCCACTTTGGGAAAGACTGCTCTAGAGCAGGGGTCTCCAAACTGAAGCCTAAAGTCCAAAATATTTTTTTCGGTATGTTGCAAAGGCCATAAAAAATTTAATTTTTCTGCCCAGATATGCAAACATAGGCATTAGCGTTTAGGTGTCGCGGGCCGGATTGATGGCATTGACGGGCTGAATATGGCCCGCGGGCCGTAGTTTGGAGACCCCCCTCTAGACAATACTGTATTGTCTTCTGAAAAAATCTTTCCAGTAAAAGACAAAGAACAATACAAGCTGGAGATAGTGAACCTCAAATCGAAGATATTCTTATGCTGTGGGCAAGAATCGGACGCCCGGGGCGGTGATGCAGGCTCTGACGGCGTCTCCAAGCTGACTCGCCAGCTTGAGGAGATGGAGGAGCGATTGGTGCATACTCAAGGGCAGCTGGATGACGCGCAGTACGAAAGGGACGCTTATAAAGCCAAGGTTGGTAAAAAGTTTGACCACCATTGAGTTTGTATAGCTGAGGACTATTGTAGTGTCGGACACGAGATTTTAAGAGAGTTTTGAGTCACCTTTTAGAATTTCCAAATAAAGGTTTGAGAATTTACAGCTTATCAGCTCTCATTTTTTTGTCTGGATGAAGTTTCATGTCCACTGGTAGGTGGGGATTGTTCTCTCATTCCTAGGTTGCTATTTTGGTTCAATAAATTATGTATGTAATTTAAATTGTGTCAAACGTTTGTTTGAACCAAATAAACTATTTTTCTTTCTTTCTTTCTATTAAAATTTGTCTGGCCTACGAGAACTTACACGTACGCTGAGACCTCTGTTCTTATACACGAGCGGCTCATAGCCGACGGCAGTGGCAACGGCAGCCGTCGTCACATCGATAACTGCCGCCGATAGGTGGCGTTAGCCGCCAGTTAGCTCTTTGTACAGGATGCGACAAGTTACAACTGCAGCTAACGCCACCAGTCGGTGGCAGTCGTCAATGTGGCAACAGCTGCCGCCAAAAGGTGGCGACAGCTGCCGTTGCCACTGCCGTCGGCTATAGACCCAATATAGATGACCCACGCTGAACTGTCCCACCAAACTCAATGACAGGGGGGCGCTACTATCGTTCAACTTTATGGTTTCCAACATGGCAAAAATCGGAACCAGCGATCCGGTATTGACGGTGGCGCCCCGCTGTCAATGTCATGGATAGGACAGTTCAGTATTTTAGAACTATATGTTGTGTAGTTGAACGATGGTGGCGCCCCTCTGTCAATGAGTTTGGTGGGACAGTTCAGTTTGGGTCATATATGAGCCGCTCGTGTATAAGAAACCTTATGCTTCACGGCACCTAACATTCAAAAACTACTTATAAAAGTACACTTAAACTCTTCAGATTACCGAACTCAAACAAGAGCGCGACAAGTGGCTGTCCCTCAGTCAGCAGGAGAGCGCCCGAGCCAGCCAGCTGTGCGACGAGCTGGAGGCCGAACGGGGCCGCGCGCAGTCGCTGCGAGAATTGCTGGCCGAGCTGAAGGAGCATCAGCAGCTTAACCGGCTTGATTCCAGCCAGCTGGAGTGCGACGACCCGGATGCCAGTATGCACTCGCTGCACCACAATTTGTGTAAGTTGTTATACAGGGTGTGGTTTTGTAAAACAACGCCCATCTCAGGAGTGGTATACACGACACTGATGCCAAAAAAAAATTATGAAAAAATCCATGAAATCAGGGAAATGTTATTATTACGCAGGCGAGCTATGAGTCAGTCCCCCCGCTCTCCCGGGGCGGCGGCCGCATGTGCCCGGTGGTGTAGCGGGGTATGCGGGGGTGGTGCGGGCGGTAACAAGCACCGTCTCGAAAGTTTTAGGAGATGTTTGTTTGAACAAGGTTTTTAACTAATAAAGTAATAGTTAACATTTTTTTTAAATTACCTTCATGTGTACTACTACCACCCCTCAGAGAGATGGGCGTTGTTTTACAAAACCACACCCTGTATTTTTAAAGAGCAACTATGACACATCACTCTCTACGTCTATTTTCCTCTCAATCGCGGGCGTTCGCTTCGGACGTCCGACCCTCTCCGGCGCAAGTTTTAGCTCTCATAAAACTCATTTTATTTTTGCAAGTAGGTTTTTAAAAAGCAATTTTACACGTCCCAGTATTAATCCTACCACTGCTTCGGGACAATAAATGAGCCAGTGCTAAGAAGAAGCAGCGCAAGAACTCAGTCACCATTGCACTATTCACTAGCGTAGGCACTTAACCACCGGTGTCAGGCGATGATGTTGCCGTCGTTGAATAGCTGTTTACGTGTAGCGTTTACAGCATAGCACAATATTTTACCGGTGGCGGCCACTCGATATAAATCACACTTAACACAAATTGTGACAATATCTACCGACCACCTTCGTTTGAGTCGTTGCGCGCGACTGCTACCGTCAGTTTTAGATGGTGGCCCGTTTGTGAGGAACCTTAGAAAACACGGACATTACTTCCTTATTCTTAACAAGTTTATTCAGCTACAATTTCTTAAAAAAAACTATATGACTACACGATTTTTTTACAGCTGTTTGTAGCGAAGCATGCGCTAACGTAGTGGAGGTACAACTCGGCGAAGAAAGAGCCAAAATTGTGGTGCTCAAACAACAAATACAACATTTGCAGGTAAGTTTTACATATTAGGGCCACTAAAGCTTTGTATTTACATTGTGTGTTTCTAAAAAAATCTTCACCAATAATATTTGTATGTCACATCTACATCCCTTAATTATTTTAGGACCAACTAAACGATTTGACACAGAAAACCGAATCCGAAAAACAATCCCTAGAAAGAGTGCTCTCTGAAAGAGAAAACGACATCTTCAATTTAAAACACAGAATCAACGAAGAGATAGAAGAGAAAAATAACATGTCCATACATTACAGTATTGAAATGACAAAATTAAATAACGACATAAACGAATTGGAACAAAAACTGAAGGATAATAACAATCAATCTCGAGTAATAGTCGAAACTAAAATGCAGGAGATACAAACACTTCAAGAAGAGAAACTTTCTCTCTTACAAAGTCTGAACGATGAAACTACCAAGCTGGAAAATGTTATTACAAATCTCAAATCTGAATTAGACGCGGAAAAGGCTTCAAAAGCAAAAATGAGAGAAGAATATGACAATCACATCATGAAGTTAAATGAAAAAGTTCTCAATAGGAATAATGAATTGGTTGAACTGCAAAACGATGTGTTTGAGAAGAGCGACAGAATTGAAGCTCTGCATTTAGAGCTGAGAAAAGAGAAACAAGCCAGAGAGCAACTCCTCGCGAAGTATAACAATGAATGTGAGCAAATCAATGAAAAACTTGTTGATGCAGAAAATGTATTGAAACTGAAATGTGAAGAAATTGAACGGTTGACAGACAGGCTGAATTATAGCTTCGACTTTATCAGAGAAATGGGTCGTGAGGTTGATGAGTTGAAGCATGCCGTGTCTGAGCAAACTGAAAATTGCACTTTTCTTACAAACGGCATAAATTTAATGACCGTTGAAAACAAATCGCTGTATAGTTCCTTACAGGAAACCAAAGTGGCTCACGAGGAAATTGAAATGGAAAGAAATTCGCTACTCAATTCAATTGCAGTACTGAAACAACAAAACAAAAAACAAATTTCGGAATGGAAAGACAAACAAGAGGAATTGGACAAAGTGAAATTAGAATTGACAGTTGTGAAGACACAAAAAGAGAGTAAGTAAAATTTAATATTATAGTCAATTTGTCCCAGCTTCAAGTGTGTCATAATCATAGTGTATATTATTTTTCAGAAAATGAAGAAGCCAATGCGCAATTATCTGCCGTTCTATTGAATAGCGTAGATAAAGTATTGGACAAATTAAGGAGAGATAACATCTCTAATGAAGTTTTGAAAGAGTTACTCCATGTTGATAGCACCGACATATTGTCTATGGAAGAGAAGTGTGATCTCATCGTTAAGATGGCTGATACTCTGACAATTCAGGGTCTGGGAGGCGTGGATGGAGAGGAATGTCTCATGGAGCCACTCAAAGATCTGGTTGCAGAGCTACGATGTCAACACCCTTCTATGGATAATCAGTTGAATGCCGATGGGGCAGAAACCAGCATGACGTTATTACCCCATAACTTATGTAAGACCCTATGATTTTAGAAATTTAAGATTTGATTACATTTTGCTGAACTTATATCGAATACATCTGTGACGAATTTAAAAATGTACTGTATCTAAATGTGTGTCTATGGCCTATTAGTTTACGATGTTATAACTTTCATTTACAGCCATTTGTATTGAAGCCTGTGCTAATATGGCGGCGGTGCAACTGTATCAAGAAAAATCCAAGATTGCGGTTCTCCAACAGCAAATTCAATCCTTGCAGGTAAGCTTCAAAACAATTTGATGACCTTGGTTGGTTTGCAATGCAAACTGCACAAAGAGTTTCTAAATTTCATTATTATAATTCTATATTTATCATTTAAGGATCAACTCAGTGATTTGACTCAGAAAAGTGAATCTGAGAAGCAGATTCTGGAAGAGAGAAACATCGAAATTATCAATCTAAAACAAAGAGTAAATGAAGTGATCAAGGAAAATAATGACATGTTGACAATGTTCAATAATGAAGTTCTCAGACTCAAAAATGAATTGGAAAAAGAAAAAGAAAAATATGATTTATTGAACAAGACCTTGAGTGAAGAAAAACACGCCAAAGATAAACTTGTAAAAGAGAAAAACGATTTGTCAGAGGAAATTGAATCTATTAAACAAAATCTCGAAGATGTTAATGTGGCAAATGATCATCTCCAAAAGGAAATAAATCTTGTGTCTATAGAAAAAAAGTCGCTTTTCACTTCATTGCAAGAAACTAAAGCTGCCCATGAGGAAATTCTGGCGGAGAAGGATACTTTAACGAATTTAATGGCAAAATTAGAAGAACAAATTGAAAAACAATTACAGGATATTTCGGATCTAAAACAAAGAATGAATGAAGAGATCAAAGAAAGGAATGACATGGCAACAAAGTATAATAATGAAATGTGCAGACTCAATAATGAACTAGAAAAAGAAAATGAAAAATATGATACATTAAACAAGACTCTCAATGAAGAAAAACACGCTAAAGATGAACTCCTGAAAGAGAAAAATAATTTGTCCGAGAAAATTGAATCCATCAAACAAAATCTCTATGAAGCTAAAGTGGCAAATGATCACCTTCAAAAGGAAATAAATCTTGTATCTATAGAAAAACAGTCGCTTTTCACTTCCCTTCAAGAAACTAAAGCTGCATATGAAAAAATAATGACGGAAAAGGAAACCTTCTTGGATTCAATTGTAGAATTAAAAGAACTCAATGAAAAACAATCAGTGGAAAATTCCGATCTGAAACAAAAAATACAGGAAGAGATCAAAGAAAAGAATGACATGTCGATAAAATTGCATAATGAAGTTCTTAGACTTACAAAGGAATTAGAAAAAGAAAATAAAAAATATATTACACTGAACAAAACTTTGAGTGAAGAAAAACACGCTAAAGATGAACTCTTAAAAGAGAAAGATACTATGTCTATGGAAATGGTTTCTACCAAACAAGATTTAGAAGCGGCTAAAGTGGCAAGTGATCATCTACAAAATGAAATAAATCTTATTAGCATAGAAAAAGAGTCGCTTCTCAATTCTTTACAAGAAACGAAAGCCGCCTATGAAGAAATACTAATGGAGAAGGTAGCTCTCTCTATTTCAATTGCAAAAATAAAAGAACAAAATGAGCATCAAATACAAGAAATCGTAAAAGAGAAAGGTGACTTGTCTGATAAAATGGAATCTGTTAAACAAGATCTAGAAGAAGCTAGAGTAACAAATGAACATCTTCGACATGAAATAAATCTTATGTCTACAGAAAAACAGTCGCTTTTCACTTCTTTACAAGAAACTAAAGCTACCCATGATGATGTATTGAAAGAAAAGGAAAGTCTGTCGAATTCAATTGCAAAATTAAAAGAACAAAACGAACAACAGTTAGTAGAAATCGTAAAAGAGAAAGATGGTTTGTATTTAGAAATTGAATCTATGAAACAAAATCTAGAAGAAGCTAAAGTGACAAGTGATCATCTACGAAATGAAATAAATCTCAATACAATAGAAAAAGAGTCGCTTCTCAATTCTTTACAAGAAACGAAAGCCGCCTATGAAGAAATACTGACAGAGAAAGAAACCATCCTGAATATAAATGCAAAAATAGAAGAACAGAATGTAAAACAATCGTTGGAAATTTCCGATCTGAAACTAAAAATTAATGAAGAAATCAAAGAAAAGAATGACTTGTCAACAAAGTATAACAATGATGTGCTGAGACTCAATAATGAATTAAGTGAAGAAAAACTAGCTAAAGATGAACTCGTAAAAGAGAAAGATATTTTGTCTTCAGAAATAAAAGCTGTCAAACAAGATCTAGAAGAATCCAAAATGGCAAATGATCACCTTCGAAAGGAAACGAATCTCATTAATATAGAAAAAGAGGCGCTTCTCAATTCTTTACAAGAAACTAAAGCAGTCTATGAAGAAATACAGACAGAGAAAGAACAAAAACTAGAAGAAATCATAAAAGAGAAAGATAACTTATCTGTGACAATTGAAATTGTCAAACAAGATTTAGAAGAAGCTAAAGCGGCAACTGATCATCTTCGAAATGAAATAAATCTTATTAATATAGAAAAAGAGTCTCTTCTTAATTCGTTACAGGAAACTAAAGCTGCCCACGAAGAAATACTGACGGAGAAAGAAATTCTCGAGAATTCAGTAGTAAAGATAAAAGAACAAAATGAAAAACAGTTAGTGCAACTAAAAGAAAAACTTGACAAAATTAATACAGAGTTTGCAAATGTAAAGACAGAAAAAGACAGTAAGTATTTAATTTTAATTTTTAATATTTTGACACTTATTTCAAAACTGAATAATATTAATGGTATTTTTGATGATTTAACAGGATATGAAGAAATGCATGACCAGATGTCAACCATCCTACTGAATGGCGTTGACAAATTACTAAATAATCTCAGAAAAGAAAATGTCACTAATGAAACTCTTAAAAAGCTGATAAGCGTGGAATCTGCTGCATTAAGCATGAACGAAAGGTGTAATCTTGCTATAAATTTAGCGGAAACTTTAACAACTGAACTGGCTCTGAGAAAGAATCTAGAAATGGCTCTAGAGCATGAAAACACGGCGTTGAGTGAAATGAGACAGATGTTGGGTCAGAAGGACATTAAAGTGCTGGAGTTGCAGACGGAAGTCAACAGACTGCAGCAGGTCATCAATGATAACAAAATTGGTAAGTGTATAATAGATGGGGCAAGTTGCAGATCATAAATGTGGTATTCTGAATATTCATTTTTTCTTTTTATCTAGCATTATCATTACAAATCATCAAATTTTAAAAATGTCTATAATATCTGAGATATTCGAAATATCATTTGACACGTTAATCTAATGAAATATACAGTCTCAAAGATATCAAACTGCCACCTGTTGGAAACTGCTTTAATACGAGTATGTCCAATGTCCATCCTTCTAATATTATAAATGCGAAAATTTGGATGTCTGGATGTTTGTTACTCTTTCACGCAAAAACTACTAAACGGATTTTGATGAAACTTTACAGTATTATTGTTTATAACCCAGAGTAACACATAGGCTATAATTTTTGACGATCTGTGACAAACTAATTTTCACGCGGTTGAAGCCGCGGGCAAAAGCTAGTTATAAATAGTTTAAACCACCCAACACAAAATTTTCTTTTCCAGAAATGTCAAAGCAGAAAGAGTTATACGTCACCTCTATAGACACAAGAAACAGAGACATACAGACACTAGAAAAAGAAAACGAGTCGCTCTCAAACGAACTCAACGACGTGAAAACGCAGCTGGAAATAAAAGTACATTCTCTGAAAGAGAAATTAATTGACAACGAACATTTAACCGATAAGCTGAAGAAAACTTACGAGTGTCAGATTGAGAATTTAAACGTTATGGTGGCAAAATTGACGAACTATTTGAAGGACAAGACGATCGAGTTGGAAGCGTTGCGAAAGGATAAAGAGAAATTGCAAGAAGCAGTTAATGATAACAGCAAAGGTGAGTTATTAATTTTTTTTTTGCTTAGAAGTCAAGCAAACATACTACAGTTATATTAAATATCCTTTTTTCAGTTGTAAAATCGCTCGAGGAGGAAGTTAAAGTTCAAAAACATAATCAAGAAAAATTACTTGGAGAATTTGAATCGGAAAGACTAGTTCTCAAAAACATGGTCACTGTCACCGAGTCAGTCATGGAAGACCAGAAACTTAGCTTGAGCAATGTTATTGCTGAACATGTTAAAGTTAATGACACGTTAAAAGAAGAAAACAAAGCATTAAAAGAAGAATTAGAATCTAAAATAAAGAATACTGAAGTAAAACTTCAAGAAAAGGAGACTTTATTCGAAAATGCTCTAAAAGAGTTGACAGTAATGAAAATTGCGAAAGAGAGTAATAAAAAAGAATTTGAACATGCAAAGGATCAGTTAGTAAATGAAATCACAGCGTTGAAAAAAGAGCTAACTTTGAAAGTATCTCAAGTAGAAATATTGGAATTGAAAAACAAGGAAATGACTCAAGTTGTGGAACAATGTAAAAGTGGTGAGTATTACAATGATTTTCGCGTCGTATTTTTAAAAATTTACGAATATTAATAATTTAATAACAACTATTTATTTGTTTTAGAAATTGATAACATGAAAAAAGACAATGACGAATTAAAAATTAAAATGGACTTGCAACAAACAGAAATGACGAATAAAGTTGACAAATTAACTAAAACAAATGACGAACAAACTGAACTCAACAAGAAACTCGAACAAGAGGTTGAAGAAGAACGTCAAAAAAATATAGCAGCAGAAGAAAGGGTTAAAGAGCTGTCTGATCAACTAAATGAACTTACTGTCACTAACGACAATCTAAGACGAGAAAAAATGTATTATCTCAACAAAGCAGAAGAATTGAAAACTGAATTCGATACAGTTGCAGATTCGTTGAATGAGGAAATTAAAAAATTACGTGTTGAAAATACAAACTTGAAGAAAACTGTGGAAGAAAATCAAATCGGTAATACTAAAAACTTTTATGAAATAATTTTACATTTATTTATTTTTAACAGGTGCCTAAATTAATAATTTATTTCATTTCAGTGATCACAAGACTAGAACAGTCAGTACAGCTAGAGAAAGAACAAAACAATGAATTACGACTGGGCAATGACAACGAAAGGCTAAATTTAGATAACAAGTGCTCACTACTACAAGAATATCAACTGAAAGCAGAAAGGCAGATGGAAGACCAACAAAAAGACATCGACCTGTTGCACAAAGAAATTAACACGTTAAAAACTATCGCAGAACTACAAGAAAACGACTTGAAAGAGAAATGTGACATAATTCAAGAAAAGGATGAACAAATAAACAACATCAATAAAGATTTGGTCGAAATGAAAGCCGCTAAAGAAAAAAATCAAGCAGAATTGGAATCCAAAATTACTGAAGTTAATTACTTGAAGCAGAAGATGACTAACGATGATGTTCAAAGGGCTTTGAGAAGCGAGGAGTGGGTCAAAGCTATAGGACAGAAAGACACGTGTAAGTAATGTAACAATATTGTTCAATGTTTCANATGTTTCGAATGTCACCATCAGTGATTAGTGTAATTTGGATTTAAATAACAACAAAATCTTTTTCCAGTTGCCGTTGCCGTTTCTGAAAAGACCGGAAGTCATAAAAACTCATGTAATATCGAAAAGGATTACCGCGAGTTCCACCACCAGGTAGATAACACCACCTCTGACCTTACTCACTCATCAATGGAGAGCATTAAGACCATTTCAGATTTAGAAAGGATCATTCACGACAAGAACAGGACTATCACCGCCCTCCAGAGCGACATAACATACCTCAAGTCGCTCATCGCAGACTCGGAGAACAAACTATTGGACGTCACCAAAGAACTAGAAGTCAGCAAGGAGAACTGTCAGCAGTTGTCAGGGCAGCTCAAGAAAATAGTCCACCAGAAGAATGAGGAAATCGCCGAACTCAAAAAGCAATTGAACAAAATGAGCGTCACAGAGAACAGAGCCAGTCAGATCATCAAAGTGTCGGCGAAGTACCAGGCGATCATACTCAAGAGGATCGCCGAGATCAAGTCCAATACCGTATTGAAAGAGTTGACCAACTTCGGCAACTCCGCGAACGGCGACAACGAGCTTCGGCGAAGCTTAAACGCGGGCACCGTCACTATGGAAGACCTCGAGAATTTCTTGGAGACCACGGACAAGCATCTGAAACGGTGCTCCGAGAAGCAGATCGCCCTACAAAAGGAGAGGGACAGGTTGACCGAAGTGAACCGAATAAACGAGTCGGAGATAATCAACTTGAAGAAGTTTTTGACGGAGCTGTCGGTGAGCTTCAAGACGTTCAGCACAGTGAAGGAACTGTACGCGCAGAAGTTCAGTCGGGTCGTGTCGGTGCAGCGGACGGCGAGGCGAGAGGTCCTGAGTCTGGAGGGGCAGATAAACGACGCGACCATGTGCAAGCTGGAGAGAGCCTACGCGGCGGCCATGCAGGACCTGGCCGAGTGCGCCATGAATATGGAGCGCTGGGTGGAGCGGTGCATCGGCCGCACGATCTCGCCCGAGAAGATCAAGCAGGCGTTCACCAACGACGAAGACCGCGCGTCCTTCGCGTCGACGACCTTCCAGAACGCCGGCTTGGAAGTGCAACTGGAGGAGCTAGAGAGCTCCTTCCAGAAGCTTCTCGAAGAAGTGGTCCGCGCGCAGAAGGGCGAAGGCTCGCGCGACGCGCAGGCGGCCACGGTTCTGGCGGTGCGTGCGGAGTACGAGGACAAACTCAACCGAATGAAGGCTAAAATGGTCAGTATACTCCCCATCCTGTCTCTTATATTGCTGTATCAGGTCGTGTGGTGGTTCTATCTCCAGATGGACTATTGACGGTGTGGCTTGTTAATGACTTGTGAAGTCGCCTATTTATTGAATAAAGTTGTTTACATCGATGATTTTTGTTTTATTTTTCGCTTAGTTTTTTTAGTGTTTACGTGTGGTAGTGTAGTGTTATGCTTTGAGGAGCGTTCGAAAAGGTAATTATTTAGACGTTATGCATGTTTAGACGGCATGCGGTGCATGGTGCTTCCCGTTAGGAGACGTCGACGTTTCGGTGGTTTATAAGTTTGGTGTTTTCAGAAACAACTGTACCAGGAGCAAATCGCGGTTTATAAGGAGAAGCAGCGGGAGGAGGTGATGATGCTTGAGCGAGAGTTGGTCAAAACTCGGGAGAAACTCGCCGAGTCGAGCAAGGCGTATGAGGAGCATATTCGCGCGCTGACGACGGAGCTCTGGAGTGTTGGGGAGAAGTTCCTCACGAAGAAGGACGAGGCGGACTGGCTGAGGAAGAAACAGCGGTCCGGCTCGCTCATGTCGCTGCAGCACGTGCATTCGGTGAGTGTACAGACATCGTCGTTTCAGCCGAAAGACGTCCACAGCTGGACAAAGGCCTCCCCCAAGGATTTCCACGAAGACCGATTCTGCGCCGCTCGCATCCAGGCACCTCCCGCGACCTTCACCAGATCGTCGGTCCACCTAGTGGGAGGCCTGCCCACGCTAAGTCTTCCAGCTCGTGGTCGCCACTCAAGAACTTTCCTGGCCCAGCGGCCATCAGCTCTACGAGCTATTTGCCCCGCCCACTGCCACTTGATTTTAGCGATTTTGCGGGCTATGTCAGTCACTCTGGTTCTCCCACGTATCTCCTCATTTCTGATTCGATCACGTAGGGGAACTCCGAGCATAGCACGCACAGACATCAGCTGTAGCTAAACACTGCTTCACTTAAATGTAGTTGTAATAGGTGCGATTTTGCAGCAGCAAGAAGAGTATCTGTATAGTCTGGTCTGCGAGCACGTAGAATTTTGTCCAATGACCCCAAGCTACCCATCCTTATCGCTCGCGCGTAATTATATTGCTGTCGCGACTGTACGACGGGCGCCCGCAGTGAGTGTGCAATATAGTCTGGTCTGCGAGCACGTAGAATTTTGTCCAATGACCCCAAGCTACCCATCCTTACCGCTCGCGCGTAATTATATTGCTGTCGCGACTGTACGACGGGTGCCCGCAGTGAGTGTGCGAGCGCGGGCGATAAGGATGGGTAGCTTGGGGTCATTGGACAAAATTCTACGTGCTCGCAGACCGGGCTTTAGACATTATATGAATGATATGTTTCCAGTCCGGGCTAGTGCCGGCGCCCCCTGAGCCATCGCGGCCGTCGGATACACACTCCCTCCGTTCTCTACCCGTCCACAACAACACAAATACCAATAAGCGAGGTAAGTCTAACAATCATTTGATTTAAGTTTTATTCTCTTTTGACCCCCACTTTCAGCTAGTCCAGTCATAGATTTTGGATGGCATAGACAAACTATTACGTCACTAACTCTCTTTATTTTTGTCCAATAAACTACATATTTATTTATATCAAGAGCTGCTAATGTTTTACAGCAAATTGAAAATAAATAGGATGTTCAGACTAGGCGTTCGGCAACAGTTGAAACTTCTTCAAAATGTGACTGTCTACAGGAGACTAATAGACTACCAGCCCGGCTAGGATACGTGTCACAATCAAACCATCTACGATTATCTACGATTTTAGACGGCAAATTTATTGGCTAAACTCGATAAAATGCCTCGAAAAGATTATATTGTTGCGCGCATCTTAACCCTAAGTTCGTTTTCCCAGTCTTCGGTCGTGGTTCGGGAGGCCCGCAGGCAAAAAAAGTGCCCGTAGTCCTCCAAAGTGAACTGAGCAGGTGGACCACTACCAAAGACTGAATTTTTTTCATCACTTACTAAAGTACGGCCAACGAGAAGCGATACCAAATGTAAACAAACCCAATGTCATGGTCATTTGGAATAGCAGGGGTTTGACTTTGACATATTTTGGCGGAAGAACGAGACATTACGACGAATATACAACATGGGAAGAGATAGAATAGATTTTCAGTACGGCTAGCACGAAAAACTTTCGAGTACGAATCGTTTGCGTATTCGAATCGCCATTTAGTACGAAAACTACTACAGCGCCCATGTGAACGTGTCGTAAAGTGAACTTAGTATGAGAAATGGTTGCACGAAACTTATTTTGAGAATCAAAATTGTCACGTTATCGTTTAATTCGAAGGTTGAGTATAGAGTTATCGCTGCTAGTTGCCGTACTTTAGAAGTAAACTCAAACTGTTTCTAGACAAAGAAGGCCGCGGCCTTCACATGTCTGACGAGGAGGGGGAGGTGTTCGACAACCGCTGGCTCAAGGAGCTCGCCTCCACCCCCCGCGCGTCCCCCCCGCGCGACCCCCGCCGCCTGTCCGAGCTGCGCTGGCGCAACTCACTTTGCCCGCCGCATCTCAAGANTGCTGGACAAAGGCCTCCCCCAAGGATTTCCACGAAGACCGATTCTGCGCCGCTCGCATCCAGGCACCTCCCGCGACCTTCACCAGATCGTCGGTTCACCTAGTGGGAGGCCTACCCACGCTACGTCTTCCGGCTCGTGGTCGCCACTCAAGAACTTTCCTGACCCCGCGGCCATCAGCTTTACGAGCTATGTGCCTCGCCCACTGCCAATTGATTTTAGCGATTCTGCGGGCTATGTCAGTCACTCTGGTTCTCCTACATATCTCCTCATTTCTGATTCGATCACGTAGGGAAACACCGAGCATAGCACAGGCATCAGCTGTAGCTAAACACTGCGGCACTTATGTAGTTGTAATAGGTGCGATTTTGCAGCAGCAAGAAGAGTATCTGTATAGTCTGGTCTGCGAGCACGTACAATTTTGTCCAATGACCCCAAGCTACCCATCCTTATCGCTCGCGCGTAATTATATTGCTGTCGCGACAGTACGACGGGTGCCCGCAGTGAGTGTGCGAGCGCGAGCGATAAGGATGGGTAGCTTGGGGTCATTGGACAAAATTCTACGTGCTCGCAGACCGGGCTTTAGAAATTATATGAATGATATGTTTCCAGTCCGGGCTAGTGCCGGCGCCCCCTGAGCCATCGCGGCCGTCGGACACACACTCCCTTCGTTCTTTGCCCGTCCACAACAACACGAATACCAACAAGCGAGGTAAGTCTGACAATCATGTAGATTAAAGTGTTATTCTCTTTTGACCCCCACTTTCAGCTAGTCCAATCATCGATTTTGGATGGCATAGACAAACTATTATGTCGCTCTCTTTATTTTTGTCCAATAAACTACATATTTATTTATATCAAGAGCTGCAGCAGCAAATTATAAAATAGGATGTTCAGACTAGGCGTTCGGCAACAGCTGAAACTTGCTAAAAATGACTGTCCACAGGAGACTAATAGACTACCAGCCCGGCTAGGATACGTGCCACGATGAAATTTTATCGATAATTTTAGACGACAAATTCTTGTCTTAACTCGATAAAATACCTCGAAAAGATTATATTGTTGCGCGCATCTTAACCCTAAGTTCGTTTTCCCAGTCTTCGGTCGTGGTCCGGGAGGACCGCAGGCAAAAAAAGTGTCCGTAGTCCTTCAAGGTGAACTGAGCAGGTGGACCACGACCAAAGACTGCATTTCTTTCATCACTTACTAAAGTACGGCCAACGAGAAGCGATACCAAAATGTAAACAAACCCAATGTCATGGTCATTTGGAATAGCAGGGGTTTGACTTTGACATATTTTGGCGGGAGAACGAGACATTACGACGAATACACAAGATGGGAAGAGATAGAATAGATTGTCAGTACGGCTAGCACGAAAAACTTTCGAGTACGAATCATTTGCGTATTCGAATCGCCATCAAAAGATTTAGTACGAAAACTATTACAGCGCCCATGTGAACGTGTCGTAAAGTGAACTTAGTATGAGAAATGGTTGCACGAAACTTATTTTGAGAATCAAAATTCGTCTCGTTTAATTCGAAGGTTGAGTATCGAATTTTGTCGAATACGCAAACGATTTGAAGACGAAAGTTGTTCATGCTAGAGGTACTGTTCACAGTCGAATCCACCTTTTGTATCGCTGCTAGTTGGCCGTACTTTAGAAGTAAACTCAAATTGTTTCTAGACAAAGAAGGCCGCGGCCTTCACATGTCAGACGAGGAGGGGGAGGTGTTCGACAACCGCTGGCTCAAGGAGCTCGCCTCCACCCCCCGCGCGTCACCCCCGCGCGACCCCCGCCGCCTGTCCGAGCTGCGCTGGCGCAACTCGCTGTGCCCGCCGCATCTCAAAAGCTCCTACCCCGCCGAGACTCAGTTCCAGCCCGTGGCTGACGAGGAGGACATCAAGGTACGCGATTGTGGACTCTCTCTCTTAGACAGTAAGAGTCGCATGCGAGTGTAGCTCGTGGCTGATGAGGAGGACATCAAGGTGAACGATTGTAGACTCTCTTCCCTAGGCAGTAAGACCGCCGCCGCCTGTCCGAGCTGCGTGGCTGAGGAGGACATCAAGGTGAGCGATTGTGGACTCTCTCTCCTAGGCAGTAAGACCCCCGCCGCCTGTCCGAGCTGCGCTGGCGCAACTCACTTTGCCCGCCGCATCTCAAGAGCTCCTACCCCGCCGAGACCCAGTTCCAGCCCGTGGCTGACGAGGAGGACATCAAGGTGAGCGATTGTGGACTCTCTCTCTTAGACAGTAAGAGTCGCATGCGAGTGTAGCTCGTGGCTGATGAGGAGGACATCAAGGTGAGCGATTGTGGACTCATTCCTAGGCAGTAAGAATTGTATGCGAGTGGGCGTTCCTGAGAAACAAAATAATTGACAATCGCTCTTCGTTTGTCGCTGTCGCTCATAACCACGAGAAGGACAGCAAGTTAATGGGTTGTGAAGTCTCTTTCCTAGGATGTAAGCGTTCTAAGCGAGTGGGCGGGTGTAAGGAATAATGCAAACAATTGACGTTCGCTCTCTTCGCTCGCATCATTCAGTAAATTATTAATCCAATTTTATAGAAAGGACTTCCATAACCTGCCAATGGATGTCGCTACGCATCCCTCGTAATATCATACCAACCCATCCAACCCGACCACACCATTAAGCCGAACGTCCACCGCCGGCTAAACTAAGTTAGATTAGCTTAGCTCGCATAGTTGAGCCAGTTTTTCGTACATGTGCGTCCACCGCAAACTATGCCAGCTAAGCTATGTGAAATGCCCCAGCTAAGTGGAACTAACTTAGCTCGGTTAACTTGACGTTCTAGCATAAACTGACCATCACTAACGCAGGGCCGTCTTTAACCTACTAGGGGCCCTGGGCATTTAAGGATTAAGGGGGGCCCTTATCATCTGGTAACAGGTCTTATTAGCAGATGGGGGGCTTATTCATCAAAATGTCCACTTCTCGAAATTACAACTTCTTAAAATGTCAACTTCGCTAAAAGACAACTTCTCATAATAATATTGTCTATTTCGGATATATCGATTATTTGTGGACATTTTGCGTCCCGGTTGTCATTTTGATGACTAAGCCAGGGGCCCACTCAGTCGCGGGGCCCTGGGCACGTGCCCAAAGTGCCCAGTGGGAAAGAGGGGCCTGCACTAACGTAGTTTTAGCTTATTTATTGGTGGACGGACAACGTAGTTCTAGTTTAGCTTCGCTTAGTTCACTGAGTTTAGTTTTCATTTCGGCTTTACAAGTTTGTTTCGTCCCACAGTTCAGCCTGGGCAACATGAGCTCGCTGGGGCGGCAGCACCGCAAGGAGGTTGGCATCACCGCCTACAAGAAGCCGGGCCCGCCCACGCCCAGCAAGAACGCGGGAAGGCTCTCCGCCACGGTATGTTCACATTTGACAGATTCTACTTCTTCTTCTTTTTTGGTGATGTTGGCAATACACGTCGAGGTCGACTTGATTTGTGCCATTTTCAAGTATTTATGTGATACGAGTTACAAAATGAGATCAAGTAATGATATAATGAAGGATGATAGATGTTACCCCTTCCCACCCTTTGAGTCTCAGTAAAGTTGTGGTGCTTTACTGTGACCTCCTATGGACAACTTGAGAGAACCAGAAGAATCACGATGCACTGTTTTGCTTCACTTGCCCACAGTCATGCACGTTCACGAACACGCCGCATGTCTCGCGTCATTTTGCAAGCATTTTGGCGGCCGCCGTTTCGCTTGCAATCCGCCAGTGTGGCAATGCCCTAAGATTCTACTTAGAATCAATAATTATTAATCTCACGGACAGTCACGGATCTTGAGCCCTAAGGGAAACATACTATGAATGCCGTTTCCATCAAAAAAGATACTTTTATAGACCCGCTTGAGCGGAATTCGCGTTTGAATTTCATTACAATGTAACCGGATGCATTATAATGGAACCGCGAAATTACGCGAAACCTTACAGCACAACTTTAAAAACAAACAAGATTGTTTTTTGTTCTCAAGATTCATCCCACTTGCCTTAGATTTGCATCTACCCTGTCGCTTGGATAGAAAGAGCACAACTAATACTAAATATAAAAGTTGATGTAATTTTAACAAAAATATTTAAGTTTTACAAAATGTACAGTCGCGGAATGAAAAGGTTCGTCACCTTAGTGTCGGTTTTCGCTTGCACTAGGTACTGTAAGAGTCAAACCTGCCAACATAACAGTGCTGCTATCATTTAAATAAATATGACGTTTACTAACGAATAAGGTTTTGCTTGTTTAATTTTCTATCCCTTGCAATGTTACAAAATATAGTTTTTTTTTATTTAATAGAAATAATAATGGCAGGTTGAACCAACAAAAAGGTTTTAGTTTATAGATAAATCGTCAAACAACTTTGATCTGAATAATTTTGAACTTTACTGACGAACAGTTAAAGATTATTTTCTCTAACTCGAGATTATTCTGTAACATGTTTCAAAAGGTAATATATTGTGCTCGCGATTCGTTGAAGGAATCAATTTGAATCAATAAAACTGACGAACCTTTTCATTCCGTGACTGTACTTGCTAGTGAAATATAATGGAAATAATATGCTATACTTACTGTATTCAGGATTCCGAGTTGCGCGTGGAAGCCGAGCCGCAGCCCTCCCGCAAGACAAGCACTCCGTCGCGGCTTCGCTCGCTTTTCCGCTCCAATAAAAACGACACCGCCGAAGTAAGTACTCAACAAAATTCTCTTTATATTTTTTTTGGGATGGACTGTCCCGCTGAAGTTCTTTCTTATTGCTTGGTGGATTTTTTTGTGTAGCTCAATATGTCTTTTAGGACGTACGCGCGTTTTTTGACAGCTTTAAAATACTGGTGAAAGTGTAGGTAGTTTTTTCTAATTTCTAAATTATTATAAAGGTAGACTGACATCTGATTTTTTATGTGACACCACTGTCTAGTCAGTTGACATACTTTTTTACGATAATTAATTAGATGATTATTAGTGAATTGACTCATTAACAGAATGTTTTGTTTGCAGGGCACACCTCGCAGCAGGAGATTAAGTATTTTCCGGAAAAAGTAAAGGATAAAATAGTAATATGATGTTAACAAAATTATTAAATACATCCATTAATTTATTCTTTTAAATGTTGGGTTTTAATTATGAACCACTTCCCTTCTATTTAGTAAGTAATATCTGTCATACGCATATAGTACGCAGAACTGACGGCCGATGGGGCAGCAAGGTTCTGGAATGGAGGCCGCGTACCGGAAAACGCAGCGTGGGACGTCCACCTACAAGGTGGACCGACGACATCGTAAAGGTAGCAGGGAAGCGCTGGATGCAGGCCGCTACCAATCGATCAACGTGGAAAGCATTAGGGGAGGCCTATGTTCAGCAGTGGACGTCCTATGGCTGAAATGATGATGATGATGATGATCTGTCATACATATCTCTAGGGATAGTAATTAAACTCAAAACCTTATTAATATTTTATATTTCACGAAGTACACCACATAATCACTGTAGCACCGAACTTTACATACAAATGTACAAAATTGTGCTTACGTTGATCACACCATACAGTACAATTATAATTTTTAAGTTATAGACACAGACCGATCTCACCGTCTAAATTTTTTAACATAAGTTTTAGCAAGAAAATAGTAAAGATATGTAGTAAGCTTGTCAGTAATAATAATCATAATAACACGTAAAATTATTCGTTTTGTACCAATAAAAATAAAACTTTATAAGTTGCATTTTAATTTAATAAATAAGATAGACGAACGAATATAAAAATAACGTACATTTAGAAAAATAAGATCTACAAGGAGATAAGATAAGACGAATAAGATAGTATCGGTCTACTTATAATTTCTTCCAAAATAAATTATGTTATCAAAATAATATCATACAAAAATTTACTAATTTGTATACAAAAATAAAAGTCTAAGGTGCTCTATACATAATAAATCAAACTACCTATTCTATAAAAATAATTTAAAGAATTCATAAATATGTCTGTTTTGCATTATGTGTTACTATTATAACAATAATTGGTAAAAATAATCTCGCGTTGAAATACAACCTAATGGTACTATCGTTTCATGAAATTGTGCGTTTAAATATGATTAGTTTCATCTAATACTATTTCAGACAAAATACATATAAATCACGTCAATATTTTTCTTGTGCAGGCATTCTGCTTGGGTGGGATTAACAGATACACACGGGAGTGAAATAAAATAAAAGGTAAAAAATTAAAAAGTAACTACGAAATCATTAGATGCGAACACACATAGTAAGTAAATATAGATCATAATTCACTCAATTATATAACAAGAAAGATAAGAATTAACAGGTGTTAGGTAAACGTGTGTATCATTCTTTAACAATTCATAAAGTATAAGCAGTAAAATGTCTCTCATAATAAAAATACTAAACTGATAACAATATTATGTATCATTATTATGTGCGCATGAATAAATAACTTATAAATAAATAAGTAGTATGTAAACATTGTTACATAGTCCTAACTACATGTTTTGTGGCCTACCTAACACTACCTACCTATATAAACGTAGAAATCATAATTGTGACATTCATGGCAGTCGTAACATTTTTTTAAGTTAACATTCATTTAGAACCCGGTCGAGATAACTGCGCATCTCGCTGGAATGCGACTCTCTCCCCTCGTTCGCCCTGTCCGTACCAGTGTCGATGTGACGTCATGGCCACCTGGTGCGCAGCTAATTTAACGGGGTTGTAGAACGTTACAATGTCTTACCAACAAGTATAATTAAGTATATCTTCAAAACGGTAACTAGAGCCTTGATTTATCTATCAACAAGTCCTAATAAAGATTTCAAGTATTTAAAACAAGGGAAATATAATGATTACTTATAAAAATTTATGTTAAACTAGAGTTACAATAAATTATGTCTTGTCTCATTTGAGTTTGTTTCCTTAGATATCAAGTTAATTGTTGAGTGGCTTAAACAAAAATACTTAATTGTTCATATAATTTTGGGATACCCTCGATCCTCAATAAAATCAAAGGCGACTAAATTAACCTACAATTAATAGAGTAACATCCATTTATTAATTAAGTTGGTGATCTAACTAGTAGTAAAAATTAATAAGCGCTGTACAAATTTCTATCTAACTTAGCCTAATCTTGATATACATTATTATTATATACATCGAAAGTACTTGGCGATCACACTGAGTTGCAACTTGTATACAATCTCATGGGTTAGTTTGTGATCCACACTTAGGTTTGAGATTATGGAGAGATCTTACTAAAGCCCGGTCCGTGAGCACGTAGAATTTTGTCCAATGACCCCAAGCTACCCATCCTTATCGCTCGCGCGTAATTATATTGCTGTCGCGACTGTGCGACTGGCACCCGCAGTGAGTGTGCGAGTAATTCTGTTGCTATCACGCAACATAATTACGCGCGAGCGATAAGGATGGGTAGCTTGGGGTCATTGGACAAAATTCTACGTGCTCACGGACCAGACTATACTATACCTACAACTAGTCGTATAAGCTGGAGGAGCTACATTGAGATTACGCAAAGTTTCAAACACTATAACCCAAACGGTTGCACTCAGAACCTTCACTAAAGCAAAACACTGCAATTAAAATTGATTTGCAAATAACTGTTGAAACATTTAATTAAATTTACAACTATGACATGATTTAGAGGGTAATGCTTAACTAAGGTACGCACTGCCTATAGGAATCGAGTTAATAAAATAACAGTCTCGATTGACGCCCTCCAGCTGATCATTAAACGTATCACAGGATACATCGGAGGTAGGGTTGCCAGGTGTTCGGGCTTTTGTGTTTTTTGGACCTGGCAACCCTAACGGAGCCTTTGGCGGCGCACTGTAGCAGACGGGCAGGCAGACAGACTGGGCAGGGCACATAGTACGCAGAACTGACGGCCGATGGGGCAGCACGGTTCTGGAATGGAGGCCGCGTACCGGAAAACTCAGCGTGAGACGTCCACCAACAAGGTGGACCCATGACATCGTAAAGGTAGCAGGGAAGCGCTGGACGCAGGCCTTCCCCTAATGCTTTCCACGTTGATCGATTGGTAGCGACCAATCGATCAACGTGGAAAGCATTAGGGGAAGGCCTATGTTCAGCAGTGGACGTCCTATGGCTGAAATGATGATGTAGCAGACGAGGCGAAGAAAATCAGCAAGACCTGGAGCGAGATCAAGCGCGAAGCTCAAGACCGAACGAGATGGAGGACTGTTGTGGACGCTTTCTGCCCCATCTATATAGGGGACATAGGACCTTAAGTCAAAGTAAGTGAACCCTAACGGAGGTCATTCTAAAGGTCTGAGTGCTGATATCGTCCGCGCTTAGCCGCGAACGGCGCCGACGGCGCTAGGGGCCCGCGCGGGCGCCGGCGCAGGCGTGGGCTCCGGCTAGAGGCATGCATGAGGGTTGTGCGAGCACCAGCGAGGCCATAGCGGCGCCGCGCGCACGCCTCGCGCTACCAACCGCGCGCGCTGCGTGTCCAAGCGTAGATAAAGGTCTGAGTGCTGATATCGTCCGCGCTAAAGGTATGTCCGGTCAAATGAAGCACAAAGCAGGGCTTTTGTTTTTGGACCTGGCAACCCTACGGAGGTCATTAAAGGTCTGAGTGTTGATATCGTCCGCGCTAAAGGTACCTATGTCCGACCAAATGAAGCACAGAGTCCGGCTTTTGTTTTTGGACCCTAATCATTCTAAAGGTCTGAGTGCTGATATCGTTCGCGCTTAGCCGCGAACGGCGCTGCCGGCGCCGGCGGCGCAGGTAAAGGTCTGAGTGCTGATATCGTCCGCGCTAAAGGTATGTCCGACCAAATGAAGCACAGAGTCCGGCTTTTGTTTTTGGACCTGGCAACCCTATGGAGGTCATTCTAAAGGTCTGAGTGCTGATATCGTCCGCGCTTAGCCGCGGACGGCGCCGACGGCGCTAGGGGCCCGCGCGGGCGCCGGCGCGGGCGGCGCGGGCGTGGTTTCCGGCTAGAGGCACGCATGAGGGTTGTGCGAGCACCAGCGAGGCCACAGCGGCGCCGCGCGCACGCCTCGCGCGACCAACCGCGCGCGCTGCGTGTCCAACCGTAGATACACGTCGCCCGCCGCGCCTTCGGCCCGGTCGGCCCACAGCCGCTCGGCGAGCGCGGCCGAGCGCGGCCAAACGCGCGCGTCCAGCCCGCCCGGGCCCAGCTGCTCCGTCCACTGGCAGGCGGCGCCGCCTTCCACACGCCACGCGGGCCCCGGCTCCTCCGCCCACGGCCGGTGCTCGTACACCTGACAAAATTTCATAGTAAGTACAAGGTCTCAAATTACTTCGGCCGTTTGGTGCAGTGGTTCAGAACGGACTACTATTCCAAGAGGTCCCGGCCGGGCAGAAATTGAAATGATGAATTTTAATTACTATATATAATATGTATGTAGGTACCTATTTAAAAAAAAAGTATTTAAGTATGTTTATATCCGTTGTCTAGTACCCATAAGCTTTGCTTAGTTTGGGACTAGAGGCGCAGTGTAAAATTATTTACTTGTAATCCTTGACGTATGTTAAACGGAAAATCTGCTTCATCCAATTAGGTTATTGTAATATGGGCATATGGTTGATTATTAACACACGCACACACTCACATACACTCACACTAACACTCATATTCACTCACACTTCACCATATACACATTCTCTTTCAATACTCGTCTACTTTTTTGTCTAGTTTTTTAAAGTGTCAATATATCTATAAATTCTATGTGCTCCGGCCATTATCGAGAGTACTGACGCTCTGTTGTACAGGCTTCTCGCCTAGTTCAGACTCCGGTTCTCTCACAATCTTACTCTGTTCATTAGTACATAGCAATTTGTTTCACTATATCATTGGATTGTGAAGGAAAGAAACAAATGCTTTATTTATTTACCTGCTGCCACGAGCGGTACGGGCCGCAGTGCCCGTCGGAGTTGTCGCGCCACGAGCCGAAGCCGCAGTCGAGGTACCACGCGTCCACGTGCGAGATCACCGAGCGGAAGCCCGCGTCGAGCACCGCGCGCGACTCCGGCCAGCGGGACGCGCCCCACACTTGCACGCCTATCGACTTCGAGTCGAGTCTTTCGAGGTACGGCGAGCGCGTCAGCCGCGACGACCAAAGCAGCGTGAGCTCAGGCGCCTTCCCGCCGTTGGCGCGCTCGAGAGCCCGCATCGCGCGCCGCGTGAACTCCAACCACAGCTCCATCGGATCCGTGTCGTTGAAGTGCTGCGACCAGCACCGCTCGGAGACCTCGTCCCCGCCTAAGTGGAACAGGTCGTCGACGCCGGTCACCTCGATTATTTCCGCGTAGATTCGCTCGAGTAAATCGTACACGTGCGGGTTTTTGGGGTTCAGTTGCCCGCACGGGGGCTCGCCGCAGTAGTAGCTCCAGGGCTCGACCTCGATGCAGTAGGCGAGGTGCCCGAGGCCGGCCGCCGGGCCCCAGCCCCATGCCCGTCCTACGTGCGCCGGCGCGTCCACTTCTAGCAGAACTCTGATTCCGCGGAGTTTGGCGCGGTGCACGACCGCTTTCACGTCGTCCATGGTGTAGATAGCTCCTGGACCGTACGCGCCATGCTGCGCCAGCTGAGGCACGCTGTTCAGTCTTAACGGGAACGACTGCGAGTCGCTCACGTGCCAGTGGAACGTATTGAGCTTGCAGGCGGCCATGGCATCTATCGTGCGCATTATCTCGGGCAACGGAAAATAGTTACGTGCCGTGTCTAAGAGTAGCCCCCTGAAGCCGAACTTGGGTGCGTCATCGACCGTCGCCGCTTCGAGGATGAGGAGCGACCCAGCGTAGGGGTCGAGCCAGACTAGTTGGGAGAGGGTTTCGAGCCCGTGTCTGGCGCCGCAGAAGGAGTGCGCGATGATGTCGACCACTAGATTGTTCCCAGTCGGCCGGAGAGACAGTTTGTAGCTTTCGTCGGTGTTGAGCCTCATGCGGGGATCGGCAGAGCCATTGACCGCGACGCGGACGAGGACGTTACGAGGGGAGCCGATGTCGTTGCGTCGTATTTCTCCGTTGATTGATTTTTCTAGAGTGCGCATGTCTTCCGTCATGAGTTCGAAGGCTCCCTGGAGGTGGGTGGTGACGTCTTTCGAGGTAGTGGCGGTGACTTTGAGGGAGAAGCCGTCTGCTCGGACGGGCACGGCGGCGGTGGCAAGGCTGACGGGCCCGGTGGGCTGCGGCCACAGCTGCGTGGACGCGCACAGCATGTTGCAGGTCGGCAGCGACTGCAGCGTGCTCGATTCGGACGCGAGCATTCGTTCGCAGCGCTCGTTTCGGCATATCCACGTCCATGTGGGCTCGGATCCGCTGGAAATGATATACAAGTTTGGTTAGTTTTATCTTTCTCTAACAAACTCTTTTTGCTGAATGTATTTAGGTACCTATAGTAATTTTTTTATTCGACAGGGCGCTTCACAAGAAACTGTGTCGTTGTATGTGGTGTCAAGTGGTAGTGCAGTGGCGGCCTATGCTATTATATGCTATATGCTATGGATTATAATGTTAATTATAAGAAAATAAAACGGATTGGAATGCAACCTGTCGCGTCGTGTGACGCAAAAGTGTCACCATTTGCGCAGACTCTTCGACTTTATAGACTAATGACCTGCTGATGCCTACCTGTACAAGTTGTGCAGCGGGCGGTGGGCCAGCTCGTTATTCTGCTGGCGCCAGTACAGCAGCGCCGCGGCCGTGCAGGCGGCGAGTGCCAGCAACACTAGGGCCCGACGCAGGCGTCCTACTCGCGGGAGATGTACCGATGCGCTACTGGTCAGCTAAGAGTCCTGTAGTGGAGACAATAACCTGCTGATGGTTACCTATACAAGTTGTGCAGCGGGCGGTGGGCCAGCTCGTTGCTCTGCTGGCGCCAGTACAGCAGCGCCGCGGCCGTGCAGGCGGCGAGTGCCAGCAACACCAGCGCACGGCGCAGGCGCCCCACTCGCGGGAGGTGCGCCGACGCGCCCTGGGTCAGCTAAGAGTCCTGTAGTGGTGACAATAAGCTGATGGTTACCTGTACAAGTTGTGTAGCGGGCGGTGGGCAAGCTCGTTAATTTGCGTGCGCCAGTAGCAGGTGGCAAGTGCCAGCAACACCAGATGCGCTGACGCGCCTCGGGTCAGCTAACAGTACTCCTGTATTGGAGACGTAAAGACCTGCTGATGCCTACCTGTACAAGTTGTGCAGCGGGCGGTGGGCCAGCTCGTTGCTCTGCTGGCGCCAGTACAGCAGCGCCGCGGCCGTGCAGGCGGCGAGTGCCAGCAACACCAGGGCGCGACGTAGGCGCCCCACTCGAAGAAGTTGCTCCGACGCGCTAAGAGTCCTCCTGTATTAGAGACTAATGACCTGCTGATGCCTACCTGTACAAGTTGTGCAGCGGGCGGTGGGCCAGCTCGTTGCTCTGCTGGCGCCAGTACAGCAGCGCCGCGGCCGTGCAGGCGGCGAGTGCCAGCAACACCAGGGCGCGACGTAGGCGCCCCACTCGAAGAAGTTGCTCCGACGCGCTAAGAGTCCTCCTGTATTAGAGACTAATGACCTGCTGATGCCTACCTGTACAAGTTGTGCAGCGGGCGGTGGGCCAGCTCGTTGCTCTGCTGGCGCCAGTACAGCAGCGCCGCGGCCGTGCAGGCGGCGAGTGCCAGCAACACCAGGGCGCGACGTAGGCGCCCCACTCGAAGAAGTTGCTCCGACGCGCTAAGAGTCCTCCTGTATTAGAGACTAATGACCTGCTGATGCCTACCTGTACAAGTTGTGCAGCGGGCGGTGGGCCAGCTCGTTGCTCTGCTGGCGCCAGTACAGCAGCGCCGCGGCCGTGCAGGCGGCGAGTGCCAGCAACACCAGCGCACGGCGCAGACGCCCCACTCGAGGCAGATGCGCCGACGCGCTAAGAGTCCTGTAGTGGAGACAAAAGACCTGCTGATGGTTACCTGTACAAGTTGTGTAGCGGGCGGTGGGCCAGCTCGTTGATCTGCTGGCGCCAGTAGCGGGTGGCGAGTGCCAGCAACACCAGGGTACGACACAGGCGCCCCACTCGCGGGCGGTGCGCCGACGCGCTTAGAGTCCTCCTGTATTAGAGACTAAAGACCTGCTGAAGCCTACCTGTACAAGTTGTGCAGCGGGCGGTGGGCCAGCTCGTTGCTCTGCTGGCGCCAGTACAGCAGCGCCGCGGCCGTGCAGGCGGCGAGTGCCAGCAACACCAGCGCACGGCGCAGACGCCCCACTCGAGGCAGGTGCGCCGACGCGCCGCGTGTCAGCGCCTCGCCCCACGACTTCATGGCGGCCGTCAGTTTTGCACCTGGAATGGGAAATACTACGTCAGGAATCTGGATAATTTGCATGGTAGATAATGGCCCAGCAGGAGGCCTAAAAGTAAAGTTACAAACGCGACCAGAGCCGTCTTTAACCTACTGGGGGCCCGTGGCATCTAAGGATCTACTAGGGGCCCTTTTTAAATAAAAGTGAGGAAATCGCAATAATGTAGAACTTTCCAGGGAAATCGAACACTTTTGCTTACACCATAATATCTAAAACCTTTACAACCCCTAGGTATTTACTAACCCTCCTATCCAGCACTCGATTTAAACTAAATTGAAAACGTAACATAATAAAGTCTACACGATGAATATTCGGAAAAAACTAAATGACGAAATAAGCAGCTAATTCCGTACAAAACAAGCTAAGTGAGTGACTCTTTGCACTCGGCATTTCCTTGTCTTGTCGCTTCTATTTCGAGTGTAGGCTTTTAGGTCACTTCACTCGCTCACTTTGCGAACGAGTGTTGCTCTCGGAGGACAAACTTTCGCTTTACAATATTGATTGAGTTAAACTCAGTACGGTTACGACTTTGAAATGATTGGATAAATAAGTTTTCATCAAAGTTTTAAGCTTTAAATAATGTTATCCGAATAGCAATTGCAATTAAAAAGGAAATCATCAGCTGGGCTAAGATTCGCCATCTTAACGATGATTGTAGACGACAAACATATCTCGAAAAATGGATAAAATGGCGCGATATAAGCTTATCACTGTGTCCATTTTAGACCTACAGGTCAGTTTCCACCTTAGCCATAAAAATATATTGACAAAGTTTTTCTACAAAACTTGTTTCTGGAATCTGTTGCGTTTACAAAACACTTCTAATATGCAAAGAGGCTGGTTTTACTTCGGCTGTATATTCAAAGACCCTTACCAAGTCGGTCCTGCACGCGGTGAATGTTTTATGCCCCTTCCAACTCTATGCATTGTCAATGCACCGCGCTGATCGGAGGAACTTTCGTTATAACCTCAAAAATTACTGAGTTTTAACAGTTTCAATTTCTATAACTTATTTAAAAAGTGAGGTACCACAACGTAGGCACAATGTTTTAATCTTACTACATATGAAGCCGTACTATTGTATATCTCAACATAAATAGCGACTGCTTCAATGAAGATGTAGAATCCATTACTGGCATATAATGATAGCCACAATATTTTTATTACCGCAGCAATGGATGTACTCACTGAAATTGCGGAAGACGCTGTTACACAATTTGCTGGTTCCAGTTTAAAGGGCAAATAAATTTTAGAGTGGAGACGACCATTTGTTAGTTTTCCGACGACGAGGAATAAGGGTATTTTAAGAATTTCACGCGTTATCTACAATCTTAGGCTGAGTTGCACCAACTTACTTTAACCGTAACTATAACATTGACCGGTGTTTTTGTACGGAGTTTGACTTTTTGATGTTTGTCAAAGTTTACGCGGTGCAACTCAGCCTTAGCTGTTTATAATACAAAAGGAAAATGTTTTATAGGTGTGGAAAGTAATGAGTAAAACATTCCACGAAATGTAAATAAAGTGATATCCACATGCATTTCAAACGTTCTAAAACGCGTTCCGAGTGGATATATTCCTGAATTTTATTATAGCTTCATAAATGTTCCACGTCGCAATAGGTTTAAGTGGTTTTGAGTGCAAAGTTGCATATTTGATGGCGGAGGGCCTTCGCGGTCAGCCGAAATCATGCGAGCTATGCTAAAACAGAAACTAATATTCTAACGAACTTGACGAGACTTGGCGTGAACCTTTTAGAGCAATTTATTTTACATATCGGACATTTTTCTATTTCAATGGTGATTAACTATGTTCAGCAATAAGCTCACCAGCTCCCCTAGACAATTTACAAAAAGCGACAATTTTTATTTCTCTTTCTCTTTTCTTTTTAATAGGCTGAGTTGCACCATATTACTTTAACTTTGACAAACGTCAAAAACCTTTCAAACTCCATACAAAAACGTCGGTTATCGTTATAGTTACGGTGAAAGTTAGGTGGTGCAACTCAGCCTTACCTACTTGTAAGTTTTCTGTGCTAATACAAACACGCATTCGATAAGCGTGTTTCAGTGTTGAAAAATATTTCAAAGTCTTTGACAGAAGTACTAAAATATGTATCGGATATTTTGGGAGCAAACTAAGCGCCTTGTAAAGGATCTATTCTAAAACTTCTGGAAGGAGTCTCGATTCGCTAAAGTATGCATCCCGTAGTGGGAACGGCCCACATAGCTCGAAGAGTACAGTAAGCTCAGCTAAATTAAAATAAACGTGCAAGCACGAGAGACTGACAGAGTTGAATAATTTTTAACAACTTTTTTAAAGTATTGTTTTTATTTATAAAACGAGTAACAGCCATAGAACCCCATAGGGGTAGGGGAGCATTGTAGTTACTACTGTAGAGTAAGGCTTTGTCTCTTGACAGTGGCGTATCGATTTAGCAGTATCTGTCGCCATTGATCTGGTATTCAAATTAATAGGTTGATAATAAGAATGCTTCCTGAAAATTTGACTCCCCCTTCAGGTCATTTACCAGAGGCAAATGGACAACGGAGGAGAGGCAAAATTTGACTACTTCAAAAATAACCCTATACTAAAGGTTAGTTGGCTTTTCTAAATTCGCTATACCGGTAGTCTCACTCAACTGCTAGTGGCGTGGATGCAACATTGATGCTATGTATCCAGGTCGATGTGACATTTTCGCGGTAAGCAGGCGAATTTAGAAGGCTGATATGTATCTGACTGCATTACTATTAATAATTCATTGGCAGGCTTAATTATAGGAGCTTTTAATACCAGCTCTGTCTGTGATTTGATAATTTAGCAATTTGAAAGTTTGAATAGGGTAGATATTTGATGTCTAGATGGTGGATGAATGTAGGTGATAATAGTTGGTAGCAAAGGACTGCTGATTCGAGACTGGAGGACCTATAGTTTGACGCCCTCGATCGATAAAATATAAGAGGTAAAAAAATGGTTTTAGTAGGTAATTTATTTACGATAAATTGTAGATAGAACGACACACACTCTTCCCATGGATGTTGTAAGTAGGGCTTGCAATATCGGATAGTTTTCAACTCCGGAACTGATTTCCGATATTGGGCACTCAACTCCGGAATTCCGGTTCTAGTTCCGGAGTTGGTTAAAAAAAGAAAGCGCTTCCCGACAAACACGTACACGTATGTGGCCTCCACTTTAGAACCTTGCCCCATCGGCCGTCTGTTCTACGTACTATGTGCCCTGCCCATTGCCACTTTAGCTTGGTAATCTGATCGCTATATGTCAGGTAACTTTAGTTCGTTTAAGAATCTCCTCATTTCTGGTTCGATCTCGAAAAGAAACACCGAGCATAGCACTCTCCATACCATGGTGTGCAACTTTGAGCTTATTATAAGGCCTTATAGTAAGAGGCCACGTTTCCGAACCGTGTGTCATCACACTCATCACTACTGGTAACACACACTGATTGTAGACTTTTGACTTTAGGCACTGAAGTGTTTTGGTCGAAAAGCTGTTGTGTAGTTTCCCGAACGCTGCCCAGCCGAGTTGAATTCGACGTATTATTACATCTCCCTGCCTCACAGCTCGCTGCAGAGAAATCGCAGAGGAATCGCCCTCGTGTTCAGCCAGGCTCAAAGACCTTCTCATAGTCTAAGAACGCCAAGCATATAGGCAAGTTAGACTCTTCGGTCTTCTGTATAACCTGCCGTAGCGTATAGATGCGGTATATGGTAGTGTAAACGTTTCGATAACTGGCTTCCTCGAGAGACTATAAGTCATCGAACCTACGCGCGAGACTATTCGTGATGGCTCTCAAAAACAGCACTAAGCTTTAAGTTTACTAAGGTACCTGCATGCCAAATTTCAAGCGTCTAACTTAAGCAGTTTAGATTTTTCATACAAACATATTTTCCCGCTAATTCCCGGTCCCGTGGGAATTCCTAAGTATCCTATAACCTGCCCAGGAGTATGAAGAATAATTGTACCAAGTTTCGTTAAAATCCGTCGAGTAGTTTTTGTTTCTATAAGGAACATACAGACAGACAGACAGACAGACAAAAATTTTACTGATTGCATTTTTGGCATCAGTATCGATCACTAATCACCCCCTGATAGTTATTTTGAAAATTTATTTCATGTACAGAATTGACCTCTCTACAGATTTATTATAAGTATAGAAGATAAAGTTGCGAATACATATCTCAAGGACTTCCTTATTTAAGAACCTATTTTGATTCTTAAACGTTTTGAAAACTTAAATGATTTATGAAAAATTTCAATATCGGAATACGATATTGGCTTCAGTTCCGGAGTTGAAATATCGGAAAAAATGTATCCGAAATTCCGGAGTTACGAAATTCCGGAATTCCGGTATTCAAGCCCTAGTTGTAAGGGACGATAAAGGGAGAAATATGTGAACATCAGGTTATTCAGTCTTTTACCTCTGTTAAAAAAGAGAGGGTCGCCCTCCTGCAGTGGAGAATAAATGACTGGAGAATAAATACTACTCAGTGGTACTTGTGAAGTTGTGACCACATCAAATGTAGGCACGAATATTAATAATGAATGACCCAATTAATGTGCCAGTCAAAATTTTAATTCATATTTTTATCTGGTTCTAATAAAGTATCCAGCTGAGTTTATGATGCAAGTTTTAATTAAACTAGACGCACATGTCCAGTTCAGCCTGTGTGACGTTTGGAATATGCGATTTTAAATATCATTCCAACTTTCTGTGTTAGACTTTGGTGGGGAACTTTTTTAATGAAACACTATAAAGTTTTGAATGTCCACGCTCTGGATAAATAAATGTTCTCGAATGTTTTTGGTCAGTTAATGAATGAAGGCTAATATCATACTTAAACCTTGTACACAGGCGATAGGCGGTGGAAATTGGAACATACAACGCGCGAGCTCAGCCCCCCCGAGACAAAAAGCCAAATGTGACATTTTTTATGTCGAAAGATGATTTCTGTTAGACAG